AAATTGTTAAAAAATAAACAGAAAATATTAAAAGAAGACAAGGAGGTATGGAGACAGTTCTTTCGAAAGAGAAGTAGTGGCAGTTGATTACTCACTTGTCAGTTGAAATACGATGTATACAATTTTATGAGAACAATGTATACCATTTGTTAATGGCTGAAAAAAGGGAGTGTGTAAACTGGGAATTCCCTGTCAACAATATACTGCTTTTGAGTCACACCTGGCTGTACTTAGGGCTTACCCTTGGCTCTGTGCTGAGGGACCACTCTTGGTTGTGCTCAAGGGACCCTATGTGGAACCTGGCACTGAATTAGAATTAGCTACTATATGCAAGGCATTTTTCTGGTCCCAGCAACATACTCTGAAACTGAATTTGAGGAGCAGAGAAATAATACAGTAGGTAAGGTGCTTGTGTTGCACATGGCCAACTAGAGTTCAATCCCGGCCACTGCATATGATCCCCTGAACACTACCAGCTGTGGCCTCAAAAGAAAACAAAAAGAAAATAAATTTTAAGTATAAATTTACATTCAAAAAGTGAGAAAAATTTCTGCCAGTAGATGTCCACTAAAAGAAATACTAAAATGGGGTAGAAGAGATAGTACAGTGAGTAGGACACTTACCTTGCATGCAGCTGACCCAGGTTCCATAACAAACACTACATATAGCCAGTTCCCTGAATCCCGCCAGGAGGGATCTCTAAGTTCACAATCAGGAATAAGCCCTGAGCACTCCTGGGTGTGACCCAAAAAGTGAGAAAAAAAATACTAAAGTGAGTTCTTCAGGCAAAAGGAAAATGATCAGATGGAATCCCCCCAAATTCAAGAAAGAATTTTTAAAAAAGATGGAATATGTGAATGAATATAAAGGAGTATTGTTTGAGTAAAGAAATAATAGTTATGTTCTATACAATGTAAACTTATATGTGGAATTAAGGTGAATAATATCAATCGAACATGAAAATGAGAATGGACATAGAGCATTCTAAGATCAGAATGACAATAATAAAAATATTGTATTAGACTATAATGAATAATAGATATAAATTGTAACCTCTAGGGAAAAACTAAAGCAATTACTGTGTGGGTAGCAACTAATGGGTAGGGAAAGATGGAATAAAAGGAAAATGAAGTAATGTAAAATAAGGCAACAAAGGAGAGAAAAAGGAATATAAAATGTATGACAAATGAAAGTAAATACACAAGGATGCAATTATATGAGTAATTACACAAAGGTTGGCATGATGAAAAACTGTAGACTACCAGGAAGTTAAAATGTGTAAGGAATAATGAGAACGATATTCCATTTTGAGTGCTAGAGCACTTTTCATAGTGATAATGTTCAAGCCATTTGAGTATGAGTCTAATAAAATGTCAGTACACACTGAAAAAAAGAAAGAAAACTAGGTGTGGCCAGTGGCTCCCCAATCCCAAATAAATCATAATTTGGCCCCAACCCCCAAATAAATCGAATATCATAATGGGAGACTTTAACCTCTCAATAATGAATAGAAAATTAGATTTAAGAATCAGTAAAGCTAGAACTATAGATTATTTGACTAATTTGATGAGTAAACACAACCTAAGAAATACACAAACAGGCAACAGAATATGTGTTCTTGTTTTCATTTTTCTTTTCTTTTGGTTTTTGCTTTGGGGCCAAATCTGATGGTGTTTGGGATTCTGTGCTTAGGAATTTCTTCTGCTGCTGCTCAGAATCATGTGATGGGGTCCAAACCAGGTCCAAAACATGTGCTCCAATATATTGAGCTATCTCCCCAGACTAACATGTTCTTTTTATAATAAAAAAAAAAAACTACAGAAAAAACACCTTTTAAACATAGCTGCAAAAATGCCTTAAGACACAAGAGCATGTCATTGTACATACAATACATAGCAACAAGAGTAAATCAACATGCAAGTCATGGGTTTTGGGTAATTATGAAACATCAATGTGAATCCATTAGTTATAAACAAAGGTACCATTAAAGTTGGGCAAACCTATGTGGAGACAGATTTGTGAAAAATGTATCTTTCCCTCCAATTTGCTGTGAACTAAAACTATTTTTTTTGTTTTTATTTTTTTGCTTTTTGGGTCACACCCGGCGATGCTCAGGGGTTACTCCTGGCTCTGCACTCAGGAATTACTCCTGGTAGTGCTCGGGGAACCATATGGGATGCTGGGAATCGAACCCGGGTCGACCGCATGCAAGGCAAATGCCCTACCCTCTGTGCTATCGATCAGCCCCTTAAAACTATTCCTTAAAAAAAAAAAAAGCAGTCAGTATAGTGGTTGCCTGAGGGAAGGGAAGGGAAGTGAAAAGAGTAAAGGTGGTCAAAAGGTACAAACTTCTAGTTATATCTTTTTTGTTTTTATATTTGGATCACAGTTGTGCTCAGGGCTTACTCCTGGTGGTCCTCAGGAGACCATATGGAATGCTGGGGATAGAGCCTGGGTGGCCTCGTGCAAGGCAAGTGCTCTCCCCACTGTCCTCTCTCCAGCCCCTAAAGTCAAAAATAAATTTTAAAGAGACATTACCTCTTACCTATGAGAATGAGTTACATAGAAAGTAACCAATGGTGGGGGCTGGTGAGACAGTACTGTAGTCAAGGCAGTTGCCCTGTATACGGTGCATCCATTGATTCCCAGCATCCATAGCCCCAAGCACTGCTGAGAATCATCCCAAGCACTACAGACTTTGGCTATTCCCCCCCAACACCCCCCCCACCTCCACAACAAATTATTTTAATATCTATTTGTTGTTATTTGGGGACCTCACTTGCAGTGCTCAGGGATCACTCCTGGCAGCATTCAGGGGACCATATGCAGTGTCAGGGGTCAGCTGTTTGCAAGTCAAGCACCTTAATCCCTGTACTACCTCTCTAGTTCCAATTTAATGCCTACAGTGTCTTGAGTTTTCTACAGTGAATCCTTATTAGTAAGTTTACTTTAATGGGCTTTTAAAACTTTTCCAAAAACTATAAAGCTGAGGATGAGATTGAAAAGTATCATAAATTCCTTAACAATGTGTAAACAAAGAGGTTGCCCTTTGCAAATATATTACTTAAGTGGGTATAATGATCTTCTTAATAACAATAGAGTTTCAAAACCTCCAAAGACAGAAGGACAACTGGCTTACCTCATTTCTCTCATATATCTTTCCCCAGCTGACACTAAAATAGAGGAACTCTTTGTTCAAGTCCTTCTGATTCATGATAGGTATTACAATATCTAGAAACTCTCTAAGAAACCATTTCATCATCTAAAATAACTGTAGCACCATAGCACTGTCCTCCCGTTGTTCCTGGATTTGCTCGAGCGGGCACCAGTAACATCTCCAGTGTGAAACTTGTTTTCACTATTTTTGGCATATCGAATACGTCAGGGGTAGCTTGCCAGGCTTTGCTGTGCAGTTGGGAAACTCTCAGTAGCTTGCCAGGCTCTCCAAAAGGGACGGAGGAATAGAAGCCAGGTCGGTCTCATGCAAGGCAAACGCCCTACCCGCTGTGCTATCGCTCCAGCCCATCTAAAAAGCAGACATTTAAATTGTCTTTTTTTTTTTTAAGAGTAAAATGGGTTGGAGCGTAGCACAGTGGGTAGGGAGATTGCCTTGCAGGCAGCTAACATGGCTGACCCAAGTTCAATTCCTCTACCCCTCTCGGAGAGCCTGGCAAGCTACTGAGAGTATCTCGCCCGCACAGCAAAGCCTAGCAAGCTACTCATGCCGTATTTGATACGCCAAACACAGTAACAAGTCTCACAATGTTACTGGGCCCGCTCGAGCAAATTGATGAACAAAGGGAGGACAGTGACAGTGACAGAGTAAAATAAAACATTTTACTCAATATTATTATAAGAAATTAGATAATTTCTTCTATAAAACATTTCACATGGTCAACTAGGTTATTCTCAATCTATAGTAATATTAATTTTCAACAACTTATGAAAAAGTTTTGTGAGAAAAATCACAAAAGTTTTTAATATATATAATTATGAAATGTTTTTCTATTAAAATTTGTAGACAAACTGTTCTTGCACAATACTTGCAACCAAGAGGTAAGTTCTTCCTTCCCTCCTTTGCCTTCCTCATAGACTTAATACTAGTACTGATACAATTTTAAGTACTTCTTAAACAGCTTGCCTAACTCACAGAAGGCAGGCTTTCTTAACTACTTTGTATTACCCATGCCTATCTCGGGCTGGAGTGATAGCACAGCAGTAGGGTGTTTGCCTTGCATGTGGTTGACCTGGCCAGCCCAGGTTTGATTCCTCAGCCCCTCTCAGAGAGCCCGGCAAGCTACCGAGAGTATTTCGCCTGCACGACAAAGCCTGGCAAGCTACCCGTGACGTATTCGATATGCCAAACACAGTAACAAGTGTCACAATGGATATCGTTACTGGGCCCACTCGAGCAAATAGATGAACAACAGGAGGACAGTGACAGTGACCATGTGGTGGACTCCTGGCAAATGTCTATAGAGTGGACCTATGTACAATCTTGTCATCCCACTTGAATATCAGAACCTTTCCACAAACAAAAAAGAACCCAAGACTTAAAATACAATTTAGCACAGAGGCCCATCCAGGAAAAGGAAAGAAAAGGAAAGACATGTTTATCCTGAACTTGTTAAAACAGGTGTGATGAACTAATTCACATACCTGTATAGTTATTATAATCAAGAAAATTATTTCAGATGATAATTTACTAGAATAATATGAAAAGAAAACCCAGAGTTGCGAGTATAGCAGAAAAACAACACCTGAGAGACTGTGGTATATTTATACCCCCCGTATTTTATGGTACCTAGAATGGAGTCAGGAATAAATAGATCCTCTAATTCCTAGAGAACTGCTACATACTACTTTTATTGCTAGATCATTTCCTAGAAGCTGAAAGGGCAAGAGTAAAAAAACAAACAAACCAAAAAAAAAATACACTCACAGATGATTTTTTTAAAAAGTTTAATTTATATATTTAATATAATTTTATTACAAAAATATATTTATTTAAAAACTCAAAGAAAAACTCATTTACTTAAAAAACAGATCACTTCAGTACCTTCTTCCTTGATGTTCCTGGGTTCTTTTCATGTGACAGGACTGTCAGGATAAAAATCCAGCAGGGTGAAATCTTGTTGCAATGGGTAGCTGTTTTCATCTAAGACAAAAAGGCTCTGCACCTTCACTGTACAAGGTGTCCCGCTGCCCACCACCAAGGAGTGGAACAAGTCTGCAACCACCATGCCGTAGGTGACCTCTGATGAAGGGGCTAAGGAAAATTAAAATACACACAAACAGAGTTCTTGGTGTCCCTTCCAGTTTAATAGAAAGGCAAGCAATGAAAGGTTCAATGTGCCCTTGGTTTTCCAAGCCCAAACTTACTTTAAAATGATCTTTTTTCTTTTCTTTTTTCCTTTTTTGGTTGTTTTGTTTGTTTGTTTTAGGGCCACACCTAGCTATATTCAGTTGCTTAGCTCCACACTCATTGCTCTCTCCTGGCAGGGATTGGAAACCATATGTGGTGTCAGGGATCAAACCTGGGTGATTCGTGTACTAGGCAATGGCCCTACCGCTGTACTCTAGCCCTAGCCCTAAATTTCTGTCTCTTCTCTTAATGGTCACAAGCTGCTATAGGAACTCTAGAATGATGACACACAATTCCTGCTGAACATGGAGAAAAAATGTACAGATAACACAGTTTGAACTGATAGTAATGTGGGCAGGTTAAATAAGCACCAGGGAAATGGAAAAACCAACAAATATCAGTCAGAGATTTTTCAGCCTACTTAACTGGGGCTTACATACCCCTCCCACACAGTCTACGCAGTCAGTGGCCAGAGACTACCAACAGCAACTCCTGCACGTGTCAATCAGGACCAGCAAGAGCCCCTAGCCACCCCATCATGTCACCCTGACACCCACCCTGCCCCAACACTTCCCTTTAAACCATGGTTAAAAAAAAAAAAAAGACCTTGACAGACATCCTTGGGGGTCTCAGGTCACACTCTGCTTGGAAGGTTGGTGCCCCAGCCCACCAGCAGTGATCTCTGAGTGCAGAGACAGGAGTGAGCCCTCAGCTGCCCTCACTCCCCACCCCTTCACCAAAAGAAAGAATTAAAGAAAAAATGAGTAGACACATGTCAGGAGTGGTCGTGGCTCCTTAGCACTATCGGGCTTGAGCACTGAACTGTCAAGCATGTACCACTGAGCTAAGTATCACAGGAAGTTGCCCTCTGAACTCCCAAACACTACTGGGGAGGATCCACTGCCAAAATCCCCTGCTATTTCATCCACTATTAGGAGACAGTGTGACCAACTAAACCTGCAACCATGATAGTCTGACACTTGAGGAAAGGTATAGAGTTTGATCAACTGACAAGGTTTTAATTTGTTTCTCTCTTTGCTGTTGGCCACTATACTACCTAGATCACAGCTGAAGGTGATACAAATCCACTCCACTGACAATAGATTATCTTCAAATATATACTGTCACACATTTATTTAAGTGTCAAAAAAACCAAGGTGCTAGCAGGGCCCCCTTTTTTTTTTAACCAATTTGGGATTAAAGTGAGAGGGTAATTTGGTGCCTATTTTCTCTTCGTGTACTGAAGTAGATATAGGACAAGCCTTACTTTCCAACTTAAATGGTCTTATGTTTTACTCAAGCTGAATGATCATTTCACATTTATAGGTAAAGAAAAGAAAAACACTCTTAGCTTATAGAACCATGTTCTTTTTGTTCCAAAATTCTAGCTACAGTTCTGAACTGAAAGGTTTTATTAAAACAACCTCTCAAAGGTCTGTTAATAAATTACCTATAATTCTGTTGTGCCAGTCAGGAGGAATGTTGAGAAGAATCTTCTCTATCAACTTGGATCCCACATGGACGCAAACCTTCTCTTTTTCATCACTGATGGTCATTAAAGCTGACCTACAAAGAAATTAATATATCAAAAAAATTTCAAATATGGAAATGCATAGATGCAATACAACTTCTGAATAGAGAGCACCAAATAAAAACAAATTCTTGGAACTTTGACTACAGAACTGAGGTTACCAAAAAGTGGGGGAAGGGACTCAGGAAACAAAATTTAGAGATGGACTGGATGTGACGCAAGGACCAGGTTTTCAGAACTTTGTTGATAGTGAAGGTGAAGTATCTTGGGTACCTAAAGCATAAATGTTAACACCATTGCACCCATGTTATCTGAACTATAATAAAACAAAAAAGAATATTTGATTTATTTTATATGGTAGGTTTAAAAATATTTTTTAATTTAATTTTTTGGTTTATAATGCTATTTATAATGGTTTCTCATGGTAAGAAAGGGACCTTCATCCACTGTTGGTGAGAATGTAATCTGGTTCCACCTCTATGGAAAGCAATCTTAATATTTCTCTAATAAATAGGAATAGATCCCCAAGAGCCTTTTTAATCCTGGGCACTTTTCCTTCCCTACTCAGTGCAGAAAACCGTACCGTACCAGGATTTTTATTTTTTAAAAATTTTTTGGCCGGGGGTATGGTGCCGCCAGCAGGTCAATCTGTACCTGTGAGGCGAGTGCATCAGCAGCCTCGTGGCGCCTTCAGACTTCCAGATACCCCAAAATTGCTGCTGTGCCTTTGGCCAGACCCCAAAAACTTGGGGCAAAGTTTACCAAGAAAGTAAACGGCCAAAAGTTAGGTATGTGGGAAACACACCCACAAACCACCTCCGGCTCAGCTATATAATTGGAGGCAAGGCCTCTTTGGTTCCTGATTGAACTGCTTAATAGACATGATCCCAGAGACTCAGAAACGAATCTCAGAACCCAGTGGCTTTAGGTAGAAATGCGTCTGGTCTCTGCAGTAGGCTACCGGTGCTGGGCCAACCCAGGTGGGAATAGGTTTCGTGCCTTGGCCTGTTCCCCCTGGCGGCCCAGTGGCCGCCATCTGTCTGAGGCCACTGGATAGTCACATTTGGGCCCCCAGTGACGAGACACACAGGGCCTCACGGGATGAGGGTGGAGCCGGGCTTGTCCTCCCCACCCCAACGAGACCCCAAGTCATCGCCCACGAATGGCCTCTCTGGCTCCTGATCAAGCTGCTTAATGGCCATGATCCCAGAGACTCAGAAACAAATCTCAAAACCCAGTGGCTTTTGGCAGAAATGCATCCGGACTCCACAGTACATTACTGTTGCCGGGCCACCCCAGGGAGGAAAGGGTGTTGTCCCTCCGCCTGCTCCCTCTTGGTGACTGTCATGCTCCAGAGGCCATTGGACAGTCAGGCTTGGGCCCGCAGTGACGAAACTTGTTGGGCCTCACGGGATGGGGGGGGGGGGGGGGGGGGGTGGAGCCAGGCCTGTCCTCCCCACACCAACGAGACCCCAAGTCAACGCCCACGAACGGCCTCTCTGGCTCCTCATCAAGCTGCTCAATGGCCATGATCCCAGAGACTCAGGAGCAGATCTCTAAACCCAGTGGCTTTTGGCAGAAATCCCTCCAGATTTAAGTGTTAAAATTTCAGAATTTCAAAACCACATGGCCCTACTGCAGCCACACGACATCATATGTTATTCATAACCAGCAATAGAACACAAATTGCCTATTGTTGCCTTTTCAGCAGATCTGAGTGTTGGGGTAAAATCTCAAATAATGGTGGGTCTGGTGTCAAAATAGTGAATGTGATCAAAGTAGAGAGAGAGTAATGTGGAAATCATCTGCCCCACAGGCAGGGGAAGGGTGTGGGATGGGGGTATGACTGAGACTCAGACCCAAAAGCTTTGTAACTGCTCTCACGGTGATTCAATAAATAAAATTATAAAAAATGGGAAAAAAAAAAGTAAGGTGGAGTTCATGCACAACTCAATCAGCTAATCAGTGGCTGAATAAATAGCAGTACTCCTACAAAAAAAATTTTTTTTGGCCAGCAATGTTCAGAGGTTACTCCTGGATCTGCACTCAGGAATTACTCCTGGCGGTGCTTGCAGAACCATATGGGATACAGAGGATTGAACCCAGGTCAGCTGTGTGCAAGGTAAATACCCTACCAGCTGTACTATCGCTCAAGCTCCCTGCACCAGGATTTTTGTATCTTTTTTCCCCTTCAGAAGTGTTTATTGGAACACCGTGATTTACAAAGTTGCTCATAATAAAGTTGTTTCAGGCATACAATGTTCCAATACCAAGCCCACCACCAGTACTCCCTTTCCTCTACTAATATCTGCAGGTTCCTTCCCACCTCCCATACTTGCCCCCTTGGCAGGCATATAATACATTTATTTCATATTAATTGGTCCAATAAAATTTAAAGGAATGGTAAATAGGGTTACCAGAAAATAAATCAATAAAGTTCATTTTTGATGATTAATTGCTATGTTGTTAATAACATAGCACTGAGTCTGGTACTCACGAATGGTGTACATGGTTGTAATCTACTAAATTAAGAAAGATTAAAAACATAGCAATTAATCACTACAAAAAAATTTTTAAATAAAACCTAAGGCCAGAGAGATAGTACCAGAGCTAAGATCTTTGCATACAGCCGGCCCTAGTTTGGTTCCCAAGCACTGCCAGAGTCAGGAAAGGGCCCTGAGGACTGCAGGTGTAGCTCAACAATCCCCTTCCAATTTTTATAGGACTTGCCAGCAGATTAGATATGGGATAAATAAATTGGGAAAGTTTAGGTTATCATAATTTTATACCTCTAGAGCTACCTCAGACTACTTTGGCTGAACTACATTTCTATATATTCATCTACTTTCCAGTTTTTTGCCTCTTAGCACTTGTACCATTAATGCTTATTTTATTAAATAAACAAAAATCATATTCCCCAATTATCAATAACCAGTAACATTTCAATCCTTTTACCTATAATTCAATCCCTAATGTCAATTCTATTTTCCAACCACTGTTAAATTTATCCATTCCCTGCTCAGTCCTACTCAAACCATTATCATCCCTCCAAACAAAGCAATATAGTCCCTTAACTTTTCCCATACTGAACCTTATTATTATTTACTCTCCAATGTACATCAAAACTGTAGTATCTCTCCAAACCCTAAAAAATATTTAAAAGCTTTTAAATGAAATAACTCTTACTTAGAAAAACTATGTAGTATTCTGTAGCACTGTAACACTGTCCTCACGTTGTTCATAGATTTGCTCGAGCGGGCACCAGCAACATCTCTATTGTGAAACTTGTTGTTACTGTTTTTGGCATATCAAATATGCCATGGGGAGCTTGCCAGGCTCTGTCGTGTGGGAGGAATACTCTTGGTAGCTTGCCAGGCTCTCCGAGAGGGACGGAGGAAAGGAACCCGGGTTGGCCACGTGCAAGGCAAATGCCCTACCCGCTGTGCTATCGCTCCAGCCATGTAGTATTCCACTAATATAAAAAATTAACACCACATCTTTAATGCGGGCTGGAGCGATAGCACAGAGGTAGGGTGTGTGCCTTGCACACGGCCAACCCGTATGACTTGGGTTCGATTCCTCCGCCCCTCTCGGAGAGCCTGGCAAGCTACCGAGAGTTATATCGCCCCCACGGCAGAGACTGGCAAGTTACCCGGGACGTATTCGATATGACAAACACAGTAACAAGTCTCACAATGGAGATGTTACTGGGCCTGCTTGAGCAAATCGTGAACAACAGGAGGACAGTGCTATAGTGCTACATTATAGTTCAGAACTCTTTTATGTCTTGTACTATATTATTTGAGTACTATTTGAGTATTATTTGAGTAATATTGATCTATGAAGCTCTCCAGAATAAAGATTTTTTTTTTAAATTGTTTTTGGTTTTTGAGCCATACCCAGTGGTGTTCACCACTTACTCATGGCTCTGTGCCCAGGGATCACTCCTGGAAGGGCACAACGGAACATCTGGGAAACAAAAGAAAGTACCCTACCTTTTGTACTATCTCTCTTGCCCCTACAGATTGAAAATTTAAAATTTCTCCCCTCCATTAGGAATATTTACTGGGCAACAGATCTGTCCATAATTAACATATTAACATAATAACATAGTTACATTAATTGGTAACATAAAAAATAATATAACATGTTACCTAATAAACAATCACTGTCACTTTCACTGTCCTCCCCGTTGTTTATTCTTGAGCAGGCCCAGTAACATTGTGAAACTTGTTACTGTGTTTGGCATATCAATACTTCATGGGTAGCTAGCCAGGCTTTGCCATTCAGGCTAGGTACTCTAGGTATCTAGCTGGGCTCTCTGAGAGGGGCAAAGGAATGGAACTTGGGTCGACCAGGTCCGCCGTGTGCAAGGCAAACATCTTACTGGCTGTGCTATTGCTTGACAAGAAATACATTTTAACTATTGATTAAGAAATACATTCCAATTATGTTTTGTGGATTCCATACTTTTTTATTTTTTATTTATTTATTTATTGAATCACCGTGGGAAAGGTTACAAAGCTTTCAGGTTTAGGTCTCAGTCATGCAAATATCAAACACATTTCCCTTTACCAATACTTATTTTTTACCATGAAGAACCCCAATAAAACCCCACCCCCCACCCCTCCCAGTCCCTGTGGGGCAGATGAATTCTAGTTAACACTCTATTTGCTTTAATTAGATTCATTGTTTCAATAAAAGATTCACCACTATTATTTAGAGTTTACCCCCCCCTCAAATCAGACATGCTGAAAAAGCATTGTGAAGTGATTTGCTTTCTACAGCTGGGTTCAAGAATTAAATGTTGGTTTTGGATTTCTGCTATTTTACTTATTGACCCTGGAAGTATTTCTACTGAAAGTCAGATAGTTAAAAAATTGGTTTCTGTGCTCTGGAGTCGTGGCCGTGATGGAGAGCTGTTAGTGGGGGCAACTGGTAGCCTCGGTAGGGCGTGAAGGGCGGACCAAAACGCCCCCCTTCCCATGAGGTTTTAGTCGCCCCCCACTCCCCCGGCTCATACCTGCTGTCCACAAGGCTCCCATGCGGCCACCATCTTTCTTTCCAGAGAGGAGAGGGCGAATGGGGCAACACCCTTTCCCCTCCGGACAGACATGATGGCCTGGATTAACGCATAGTCCGTTCACTTTTCTGCTCCAAGCTGCCGGGTTCTGCACTAAGTCCTTGTGCTTCTGGGGCCGTGGCCGTGCTGGAGAGCCGCTCGCGGGGGGCAACTGGTGACCTCGGTAGAGCGTGAAGGACGGACCGGAACGCTCCCCCTCCCATGAGGTTTTAGTCGCCCCCACACCCCCGGCTCATACCTGCTGTCCACAAGGCTCCCATGTGGCCGCCATCTTTCTTTCCAGAGGGAGGAGGGTGGAAGGGACCAACACCCTTTCCCCTCCGGGCAGACATGATGGCCTGGATTAACGCATAGTCCTTTCACTTTTCTGCTCCAAGCTGCTGGGTTCTGCATTAAGTCCTTGTGCTTCTGGGGCTGTGGCCGTGCTGGAGAGCTGCTCGTGGGGGGCAACTGGTGACCTCGGTAGGGTGTGAAGGACGGACTGGAACGCCCCCCTTCCCATGAGGTTTTAGTCGCCCCCACACCCCCGGCTCATACCTGCTGTCCACAAGGCTCCCATGCGGCCACCATCCTTCTTTCCAGAGAAGTGAGGGCGAATGGGGCAACACCCTTTCCCCTCTGGCAGACTTGATCCGGTCCGTCCTTCATGCCCTACCGAGGTCACCAGTTGCCCCCACGAGCGGCTCTCTAGCACGACCACAGCCCCAGAAGCACAAGGACTTAATGCAGAACCCAGCAGCTTGGAGCAGAAAAGCGATTCCATACTTTTTAATTCAATCTCCTTCTCCCTACATTTTGTTCAAAACTCATTTACTTTATTTATAATAAATATAAGCATATGTATAGGGAAATAAGGTCTACAGGCTAAGTTTCATAAATGTTCTGAAAGTATTCTATAATAACAAGCTGAACATTATTGACATTAAGTCTTAGATACCACAATATAAAATAACAAGTTTAATTTTCAAGGGAATGTAATTTATAAAGTTATCCAAGACTTTGTTTTATTTCATTGTTATTGGGGTTGGGGGCTAGTATTTAGGGCCAAACCCAATGCTCAGGGGCTTTTAACTGGGTCTTTGCTCAGGAGTGACCTCTGCTGGTGTTGGGAGGATCATATATGGTGCTGGAAACAATTTTTTCACATGTAACTGGCAATTTTCCCAGCACTGTTTGCTGAAGAGGTTTTTCCTTGCTCCACTTCATACTCTTAGCTCCTTTATCAAACATTAGATGATGCAGAAAATGGGGTGATGAAATGAACAGAAACTTTCCCAAAGAAGAAATCAAATGGCTAAAAGGCACATGAGAAAATGCTCTACATCACTAATCATCAGGGAGATGCAGATCAAAACAACAATGAGATATCACACAACACAGAGACTGGCCCACATCCAAAAGAACAAAAGAAATGGGTGTTGGTGTGGATGTGGTGAGAAAGGGACTATCCTTCACTGCTGGTGGGAATGCTGTGCTGACTGTTTCAGCCCTTTTGGAAAACAGTATGAATGTTTCTTAAGAAATTAGATACTGAGCTCCCATTTGACCCAGCATTACCACTCCTGGGAATATATCCCGGAGAGGCAAAAAAAGTACAGTCGAAATGACATCTGCACTTCTATGTTCATTGTTGCACTCTTCACAATAGCCAAAATCTGGAAAAAAACCCAAGTGCCTGAGAACAGATGACTGGTTAAAGAAACTTTGGCACATCTACACAATGGAATACTATGCAGCTGTTAGAAAAGACGAAGTCATGAAATTTACATACGAGTGGTACTACATGGAAAGTATTATGCTAAGTGAAGTGAGTCAGAAAGAGAGGGACAGACATCAAAATATTGCATTCATCTGGGTAATATTACATAACAAAATTGGAGTCTAACACCAAAGAATAGCAGAGATAGGTACCAGGAGGTTCACTCCATGGCTTGGAGGCCAGCTGCACATGCTGGGGGAGAAGGCAGCTCACATAGAGGGGGAGCACCAAGTAAAGGGTGTTGGGAGGATGCTCCCAGGATGGGAGATGAGTGCTGAAAGTAGACTATAGACCGAACATGATTGCCACTCAATGCCTCTTTTGCAAACCACAACACCCAAAAGGAGAGAGAGAGAGAACAAAAGGGAATGCCCTGCCATAGAGGCAGGGTGGGATGGGGGGATGGGGGATGGGAGGGATATTGGGATCAGTGGTGGTGGAGAATGGGTACTCGATCATTGCATAGCTGAAACCCAAGCACAAAAATTTGTAAGTCTACAACTGTACTTCATGGTGTTTCACTAATAAAAATTTTTTAAAAAATTAGATGATCATACACTTGAAGTGTATAGCTATAACATGCACAAAAGTCACCTCAAAGCAGACTGAACACCTTGATCCATAAATTAGACTGTGGAAAACATGCAGAACACTTCATGACACTGAATCTAGAGCATTCTACAATGAAATGGAAGCCAAGCCAAGCCAAGCAAATGGAAGCCAAGAAAAACAAATGGAACTACATCAAACTAAGAAGTCACAGACTGGGAGAAAATATTTGCCCACAACTCATCTGACACTGACAAAGGGTTAACATGCAAGAACTAGAAACGAAAAAATAATCAACTAATTGTTTTTAAAAAATGGGAGGGACAAATGAACAGCAATTTCCTTAAAGGAGACATACAGACATACAGATGGCATACATGTCACTGTCACTGTTACTGTCCTCCCGTTGTTCATCGATTTTGCTTGAGTGGGCCTGGTAACGTCTCCACTGTGACACTAGTTACTGTATTTGGCATTACTTGCATATGTATGTATATATATGCATCACTTATCAGGGAAATGAAAATCAAAACAATGAGATACAACCTGACACCAGTGAGACTGGCTCTCATCTAGAGAACAAAAACACCAGTGTCGGTGTGGTTGTAGGGAAAAGGAACCATCATTCCCTGCTAATGGGAATGTTGACTAATTCAACCTTTGGGAAGAACAATATGGATACTTTTCAAAAACAAGTAATTGGTCTTCCATAAGACCCAGAAATTTCACTTCTTGGTATCCATCCTAAGGCCCAAAGAAGTTCATGAAAAACATATGCACTCCTACATTTATTGTAGCACTATTCATGATTGCCAAAATTTCAAATACTACTCAGCTCTAAGAAAAGATGAAATCATGCAATTTGCTGCCATGTGGATGGATCTGGAGAATATCATGCTGAGTGAAATTACTCAGATGGAAAAGAACAGACATAGAATGACTGCTCTCATGTGTGAGATAAAAAGAAACAGAAAAAGAAACTAAAAGATCAAGAGCAACAAAATCTAAGAAGCGGTCTAGAGAAAAGTTTACCACTGTACAGGATTGGGAGTGGGGAAGCATGAGGGAAAAGCTGGGACAATTGTGGAGGCAAGAAGATACTCTAGGTTAGATCGTTGTATACATGAAACCCTATCATTACTGTAAATTGTAGAGCACAACAAATAAAAAAAATTTTTTAAAGATCATGTGAGCTGGTTAACCATAATTTCTAATATGAAGCTGGGAAAATTATGATTAAACATTTCATTGATGTCCACAGCTCAGAGGTTAGGCCATATAAAACTTTTAACCTTTTAATTATTTAGTAATGTGGGTAATGAGTTTCTTATGAGCAATTTAGATCATGGTTAAACATGTAAACTAAGTAAAAACTGTGTAGCGTAGCTGCTTGAAGAAAACAAAATCTCCCAATGATTACTGGAAAGTTTTAGTTTCACAGCTACTAATCTAATCAGTAGTGGAGAAGTTACTGATTAGAGTGACTACTAATCAGAGTGCAGAAGTTATTATCTTATATATGCTCTAGTTAGTTCTCATTAGGAAGTACAAGTTGACATACATAATTTTTAGTCTTACCTATAAAAGCTTTTCTTCATAGTCAATGGCAAGCAGCTAAAGCATTGTTTGTAGATCTTGTTCTCATCTTTTTCTAGTTCTGTTTCACACTTTGCACAACCAGTATATATAATGTTGGGAAGAGAAAAGTAAATACTCTGCAGAGAACTGTCAGCATTTAGAGTTATCGTCTGAGCTGCTGTAACAGGAAATGCCAGCTCTAAAATCTGGGCTTTGATTAAAATCACTCCTATAAAAGACAAACCAAAAACAGTATTAAAAATAGTCACAGTGGGGCTCGGTAGGGCATTTGCCTTGTATGCGGCCAACCCAGGTTCAATGCCCAGCATCCCATGTGGTCCCTTGAGCACCGCCAGGGGTAATTCCTGAGTGCAGAGCCAGGAGGAACTCCTGTGCATTGCCAGGTGTGACCCAAAAAGAAAAAAAAAAAGTCATAGGGTTAAAATTATAACTTTAATTTATAACTATGGTTAATTACATACTTGATTATAGGTTACTTATAGTAAAGGATATATCCAAGGTTTTATTCCTTGCTCTTTGGTTCTTTAGTCCTTTCCTAGATAATTTTACTTACTCATAGCTTCAGCTCTAATAAAATAAGGTGGGACTACTTCAAACCAATAAGCTTCTAAACCACAAAAGAAACCATGACCAGAACAAAAAGATAACCCACAAACTGGGAGAAAATATTTTTACTCTAGAATAAAAGAGATAACCAATCTGAGACTGAAGTTGAAGATCTACATGACTAATCTGGCTGAAAATGTGAATATTTTCTTCTTCCCTGTCTTATAGAATCATGCAAAATAAGTATAACCCCTCTATTAAAGAGAAATTCCTTCAAACACTGATACTAGCCTCTTCTCTCTCTCTCTCTCTCTCTCTCTCTCTCTCTCTCTCTCTCTCTCTCTTTTGAAGTTGATCATTTTCAAACTTCAACAGGTCAATATTCTATCTATTCTCTTTGTCCTAAAATGACACATAACTTGGTAATATTATTTTTACTTTTCTTTTTCAATTTCCAGCCCACTCATAGTCCACCTCTGGATGTTGGTTATGTAACCACAAGAACACTGAGATTCTATTTACCAAATGTGACACACCAAAAACCTCAAGCATGTTCTTTCATTACTTACCACCTCATACACTCATCCATCAACCAAACGCTGAAAATCTACCATTTGTCAGCTATCTTTTTCCCCTAATTTATATTTGCTTGTTATATACTAGTGAGATCCGTAACTGATTTCTGAAATCGTTTTGGGTTTTGTTTGTTTTGAAACCACTCCTGGCCGTTATCTGGGAACCATGGAATAACCTGTATTAAACCAGCATATGTTCAAGTCCTTTGAGTTAACGAGGTAACTCCCTTACCCCAATACTGAGATCAATGATTTTATCTGAGCACTCTCTCTGACTTTCCAAAGTGAAAAGACAGAATTTGTTCATCCTTTTATAAGTGCTAAAGTCCAGATCAAGAGGTCATCAACTGGTGAAACGTGGGCTAAAATAAAAAGGTAACCACTTAATTGGAATGAACACTTCCAACCATACATCTGATTAATGGTTAATATCCAAGAGAAGCACTTATAAAACTCAACAACAAAAACCAGGGGCTGGAGCGATAGCACAACAGGTAGGGTGTTTGCCTTGCACATGGCCAACCCGGGTTCAATTCCCAGCATCCCATATGGTACCCTGAGCACTGCCAGGGGTAGTTCCTGGGTGCAGAGCCAGGAGTGCAGGAGTGGCCCCTGTGCATAGGCAGGTGTGACCCAGTAAGAAAAAAAACAAAAACTAAAACTAAAACTAAACAGTCCCATTACCAGACCAGTTGGCCAAGAATCGCAGGAGGGCTTACCTACCTGTCCCCAACCTCCTCTCCCCAGCCTCCTAAGAATCACATGGAAGTGGACTCCCTTAAGATTAACTCAAATATATATATATATATATATATATATAAAAAACACTAAACCCTAGGCTTATGGAAAAACACATAGCAAATTTTGTTTTGCTTTGTTTTCTTTTATTTTGGGGTCACATCTGACAATGCTCAGGGGTTATTACTCCTGGCTCTGAGCTCAAGATCACTCCTGGTAATGCTCAGGGGACCATATGGAGTGCTTAGGATCAAACCCAGATTGGCCACATGCAAGCCAAGTGCCCTGCCTGCTGTTCCAGCTCTTCAGCCCCTATCATTCCATTTTTTCAACACTTATTTCCCCCTTATTCCTAGCTTCAAAAGTGTTTTAGTTTATTATAACTTTTATTATGAATTAGCATATTTTTAGCATCATTTGTAGTTAGGAAGCCAGTGCAACAGAGTGAAAAGTTACTACCAACTGAAGTTTCAGGAATTTATTCACTATTTTATTCCATTTTCATTACAAAATATGTGGTTTACTGAATATAATACTGATTTTACTGTTTCTTTCTAAATAAATTACTTCAAAAAAATCTTTAAATCTAGTTTAAGGAAAGCATATGGTCATGCAGAAAAAAACCGTATCAAAGGCCTTCTTCTATGCAAAGGCCGCCTTCTATGTAATATGCTTGTAAGGATTGGTTCCATACACATAATGAGTTTAGAAAGCATAAGTAAATTTTAATAGCATTTTAAATAGCATAAGTAAATTTCAGATTCTATATCCACTTTGAATTTAGCCATGAATAAAAAGTTAAGTTGATAAAATGCTCTATTTCAACAGATACTCATGAGATCATTTTCATAGTGTTGATTTATTAAATGATGAGCTGCTGGTAGCCATGAATAAGAAGTATTTTTAGTGATCCATGTAGCACTGTAGCACTGTCCTCCTGTTGTTCACCGATTTGCTCAAGCGGGCACCAGTAATTTCTCCATTGTGAGACTTGTTACTGTTTTTGGCATATCGAATATGCCACGGGGAGCTTGCCAGGCTCTGCCGTGCGGGTGGGATACTCTAGGTAGCGTACTAGTTCTCTGAGAGGGATGGAGGACTCAAACCCAGGTCAGCGCCATGCAAGGCAAATGCCTTACCCGCTGTGCTATCACTGTATCCCAAAAATATTCTTTATTTCTACATATATGTATGCATGGGTTAGAGCGATAGCACAGCAGTAGGGCATTTACCTTGCACGCAGCCAACATGGCCGACTCGAGTTCGATTCCTCCGCCCCTCTCGGAGAGCCCGGCAAGGTACTGAGAGTATCTCGCCCGCACCGCAGAGCCTGGCAAGCTACCCGGGATGTGTTCAATATGCCAAACACAGTAACAACAAGTCTCATGATGGAGACTTACTGGGCTCGCTCGAGAAAATCGATGAACAATGGGAGGACAGTACCTATACAGTGCTTTTTTTTTTTTTTCTGCTTTTTGGGTCACACCTGGCAATGCACAGAGGTTCCTCCTGGCTCTGCGCTCAGGAATTACCCCTGGTGGTGCTCGGGACCATATGGGATGCTGGGAATCGAACCCGGGCTGGCCGCGTGCAAGGCAAACACGCTACCCGCTGTGCTATTGCTCCAGCCCCTATACAGTGCTTATGTATGCATAATTTGGTGAAAACCAGTAAAACAGAATTGATTAGTTCCTGCCTTATAAGCAACAAATAAATGGTAGCACCTTTAAAAATTTAATTTTGTGCTTTTTTACAAAGAGTCATTTATTTCAAAATAAAACTTAAGTAGTAACAGAATAGAAAGTACCAAGAGGGTAGCTAAATAGGGAAAAGGAAAGAATTTTAGGGATAAAGCAAACAGAGAAAAGCAGTTCCTCGTGGTGCCACCATCATTAATCATAGCAATATATGATAATAAGCCACACACTATGAGTGAATGCCATGCACTGTTCCAAACATAAGTTTTCTGACATACTTCATTTCAGCATGACCTAAAAAGGTATGACTAGTAGAAATATTACTGTTTTATACATGATGAAACTTAAGCACGAAGATGTTAAGGCTCTAAAGATCCATAATAATTAAAAATTAACTTCAAAAGATTGTAGTCAGAACACCTATGAGGATCCAAATTCTGGTTCAGTTATTTACAAAATGTACATTTCACTTTTATATTCAATTTCATGTTTTCCTTATACATGGTAGCTTCCTTCTAGCTTATATTTGAAACTAGAAATATATAAACTATAAATGGAGCTTACCTGAACATTTATCCTCTAGGTGTGTTGCTAAATCTGACATTTTCACAAGAGAGGGCTCATTTTTTTGAAATTTTGCTTTGAAAGTAATTGCTCTTACATCATCCTCAAACAGGCACTCACATGTTGACCAATATGTTGTATGCAATTCTAGGTTTTCTAGAATGCAATTGCGCTGAACATATAGATATTTAAATTCCCAAATACAATCTTAAACAAATAAAAACAAAAAGTTAGCAAAGATCAATTATGTAGACTCAGACTCATACTGAAAGCCCTGATTAAATCAATGAAATACAACTTTTATCACATAGACAAAATATAGATTTGTATAAACATTCTAAGGATATTAGACATAATTTTATTATTTTTGTTATTACAGTTTGTTTTCTAATGGTGGGGTTTTATCCTGTGTGCTCAGGAACTATTCCTGGCTCTGCTAGGAGTGGTTCCTTGCAGAATTCAGTGGACTATATATGGTGCCGGGAATCAAACTGGGATAAGGAGATATAAAGCAAGTGCAAAACCCTGTACTATCATTCCTACCCTAGAATAATTTTTTATTAAAAAAAAATTTAAGATTTCTTGACTGCATCACAGCCCTAGTTTATCACAACCAACTGCTTTTCAGAGTGGCAACTTTCCTTTTTTATATCAACAGGCAAAAATTTTGTTTGTTTTTGTACTGGGGTCATAACCATTGATATTCCCAATGTGGTTGGCCCTATACAGTTTGGGGATCAAACCCTGGCCTGGTACATGAGAAGTTTGTTCTCATGCAATAAAGCCACCTCTCTGACCCTTTTTTTTTAAATACAAGCATATAGAGCCAATAATCAAGCATACAGAGCACATTTTTCACATATATGAGGACCTGGATTTGATCCCTAGCACCTATATAAATACATCAGAATAAAGACAGATAAACAGAAAATAATTACTACAACATAGCTCATTGATTTCTCAGTAGTTGGCTACATTTTCCCACAACAAAAAATAAAAAGCATTTAGAGTGGGATGGAATTCAGTGGTAGAATGCTTGCCTTGTATGTGGGAGGCTTTGGGTTCAATCCCTAGCACCACCAAAACACACATATAAAAAGCACACATTTAGATACAAACACAGCTATTCTAATTCACCCAGTACTGATTCTACTTCTTAGAACCATAATATCCTAGAATTGCTTGTAAAATTGTATTTCATATTAATAAATTCAACTTTAAAATTATAATAAAACAAAAAGGTTTCTCAGCACTAGGTTTTCAAAAACAAGGTATTTTTAGTTTCCCAGTTATTTCAGGACATATAATTTACGTGCCCCCTGATTTCTTTCACTGGATAGATTTTCTCCGTGGAGAATCTTAAAGCAAGTCAGTAAATTTGTGCAGACAGAGCATTATTAGAAAGAACTTGAATGGTGGGGGATCATGAGCATTTTGATGTGGTGGGGTACAGTAACTTTGAACATCAATACCATGGACTTTGGTAAAACTACTATAAATTTTTTATTTTTATTTTATTTTTTTGCTTTTTGGGGTCACACCCGGCGATGCACAGGGCTTACTCCTGGCTCTGCACTTAGGAGTTACTCCTGGCAATGCTCAGGGGACCATATGAGATGCTGGGAATTGAACCCGGGTCGGCCGTGTGCAAGGCCCTACCCACTGTGCTATCTCTCCAGCCCTTACTATAAATTTTTTAAAAGAAAATTTTATTTCTTTGGGGAGGGGTTGGCCACCAGCAATGTTCGGCGAACTCAGTCAGTAGTTCAATGCAGAAAGAGCTATCTCTAAGGTCCTTAGTGTTTCAAATGCTAAGGCTTTCCTATATAGTGTCTTGGTTTCCAAAATAAGATCTTTCCAATTCATATTTGCAAGAGTAGCTATCTCACTGTTTCCTAAATATAATTTCTTAACACATCCCATGGACTGCAAAGTTTTCATGTTCATATATTTTTAACTCAAACTCCAGACTCTTATTCCTTAAAGACAGTGAAATTTTGAATGACTGCTTGGACTTCTTTTTTCCTTCCTTCTTTCATTCAATTTTTTTGTTTTGTTTGGGGGCCACACCCTGTAGTACTTCAGGATGCTACTCCCAGCACAACGTTCAGGTGTCATTTTCAGCAGTATCTTGAGGGAGAGGTGGGTCAAGTGTGTCTGGAATCAATTCCAGAGCTCCCACCAAGCAAAACATATACTCTAGTCCACTTATCTATCTCCCTAGTCCTTCGTTCATTATTTGGGGGAGAGGGGTGGAATTAGCTAGACTTGTTAAGTGGCACACATGGACTACAAAGAGTAGTCCAACTGTAAATATCATACACACATGCAAGGCTTTAGAGTACATATGAAAATGAAGTTAAGAGAGGAAGGAGCTACCCATGTGGGAAAGTCAGAGGAAAAAACACTCTAGGGAAAAGAAACAGGTGAATTAAAAATTCTGAGAAAACAAAAGGATTAGCATATTCAAGAAATAGAAATGGGGCTGTAAGACAGAACAGTGGGTACAACACTTGTCTTGCACACGGCTGTCCTGAGTTTGATCCCTGCATCCCATATGGTCTCCCAAACCCACCAAGAGTAATTCCTGAGTACAGAGCCAGGAGTAACCCCTGAGGTTAGTTAACAAAATAACAAAATATACTGGAATGGCATTCGATTTCAAATATCATTTTTATGCATACCCATTCATCCCTAATCAGTGAAATTTACATCCTTGGTTCCCCATTATTAGAGTCTAAACTAGATGAATGCATACTACATAAGAGGCACACCAATTCCTACCACTGATGCAATATCAAAGGGTTTGGGGATTTGGGGGTTGGGGATTTGGGGATTTCTACTATTCTTCCCCGAAACATCAGCCCCCATTATCTGCAATTTCAATAACAGCAATTTCTGACAGATTCCATTTCTAAATATGAGTGTGTCATCCTCTTGAATAATAAAACCAGTGCCTAGTATAAAGGTTAATACAAAGAATGCCTCAAGAAATACCGAGTGGCCAGAGTGACAGTAAAGTAGTTGGGACATTTGCCTTCCATGCAGCCAATCCAGGTTTGATCCCTGGCACCCCTTGTAATCCCCTACGCCTGGCAGGAGTGATCCCTAAATGCAGAGCCAGAAATAAGCCCTAAGCACCACAGAGAGAGCTAATAATTTCTGGAACAGAGACCTTCTCATTTAAAAAGAATAATCCTGAGGTGCGAGTTAGATCTAAAACTTTTTAAAATGGTTATAAAGTGTGTTGAATGAATAAGTAAAACAATTACACCTTAATTTCAGAATTCAAATTCTCAATATCAAAAACCAAAGGATTATCTAGAGATAAATATAATTTTTATTAACCAAATGACTTATTGTTTAGTCATATTATGCATTGAGCAATCTGCTATGCTATAGCTCCATTATAAATGGATGAATATCTTTGACCTACATTCTGTTCAGCATGCGCTAAATTCATGTTCCCAACTATGATGTAGTGATCAATAATGATGGGTAAACTACCACGGACATTTGTTTGTCAGATTTCTCAACCAAACAAATATTTGTTACTGTTTGATCCTAACATAAAAGTCAAAATTATCTCTAATTCTAGTTATCGGTTATTAATGATTAACAGGGATGATGTGATTGATCCTATCTTTTGGTAACTGTTTTGTAAACAGAAGTTTGGGAAGATATATTAACCCTTTGGGGTTTAAAAAAAACACAAAGAAAGATTTGGGGGCCTAGGAGTTAGCTCAACGGGCTTGAGTGTATACTTTTCATGAGGAGGCCCGGGGGCAATCCCCAGCAATGCAAGGTCTCCTGAGCATCTCCAGGAATATCCCCAGAACACTGAGCTGGAGAATTCCCCTGAGCCTTATCAAATATAACCCCAAACTTCAAAAAACAATTCTTTGAACTATAATACTACGAAAATTAACACTATTATACCCATGTTGCCTAAATAGCAATAAAAAAGAATGATTCACACATTGAATCACTGAATTAATTTAACAGCAAAAATTACTCCTAAGTTACTAATTAAACTATCCCTGTCACAACTAAAGGGTTTCAGAGAATCAAAAGGAAAATATTACATATTAAAAGAGAAATTACATTCAATATATCAAAACTATTTAACCTGCATTTTAAATTAAATATACTCCTGGATATTTCAAACATAAGCATTCTATAGATAGCTAATAGTTCACATTTTTAAAACAACTAGAACAAAATCCTGGTACACAGTAATTTATTAAACAGTAACAATGTGACTTGAAAGAGTTGATGTAACTTCCCTAACACTGGCTTTATAACCAGAGAGGTTTATTTATCAAAGTAGTTTGGCTGAATAAAAATTGTAGAACCTTCTCCAGGATTAAATTTGTAAAGAACATCACTTGAAGGAGATAAAATCTTCACAAAAAAGGTAAAGTAGTATATCTGAAAACAAATGGAAACTTTAAAAAATTAAAATACTATTGATTTTTTATTTTGTCACCATTACTTATAAAGAACTTTTTAAATTACTGAATTGCTTATAGGAGGTATAGATTATAATAAAAGAAACCTGAAAAAGAGTATTTAATCATGATTGTTTTTATTTCAAATGCAGTCTAATTTTTCCTTAAATTCTCTTTCTTAGTTTCACAAGCATTAATCATTTACCTAAATATAAATAAGTTGAATTCTTTTTTGATGTATTTACCTTTTCTCCTTTGAAGTTGAGGGTACCAAGCTGCCCCAGGACCCCACAATACTAGCACATAATGTTGACCTTGGGTCTGTTCCACTGTTAACATAATTTTCCTTTGCTTCTGTCCTCTATAACTGTACAATGCTTCTGGAAAAGGAAAGAGAATTATTCTACAATATCACATCATACTGTATATTTACTATATTTCAACAGCTAATGATAAATAGCACTGCAGCACTGTCCTCCCGTTGTTCATCGAGTTGCTCGAGAAGGCCCAGTAATGTCTTCATTGTGAGACTAGTTGTTACTGTGTTTGGCATACTGAATACGTCACAGGTAGCTTGCCAGGCTTTGCTGTGTGGGAGAGATACTCTCGGTAGCTTGCTGGGCTCTCCGAGAGGGGCGGAGGAATCGAACTCAGGTTGGCCATGTGCAAGGAAAACACCCTGCCCGCTGAGCTATCACTCCAGCCCAATGATAAATAATGAAAATAAAATTATACATAATGGTAATTTTGGAAATTAATATTTTTAGTAATATAAAATTAAGGAAGCTCTCAAATGTTTACCTGTGAGTATAGTAATATCAACAACTCTTAGTACTGCATGGACTAGTATGTCAGGCTGAAGCTGCTCCAATTCTACAAATTCAATTCTGTTCATCCTCTGAGGCTGCCTCTGAGGAAGATCTTTGAGGTAGGAATATTTTGAAGACAAATACAGCAATAAGTCTTGAAGTACCATATAACTAACTAGATTAGAATCTAAGAAAGAAAGAAAGAAAAACACTCAAAAAAGATGGCAACATTATAGTTTCTTAATACATATTTTCTTAGAACTCTACATTGTGAAAGTGTGATTAAATATAAACACTATTTCATTCGTGCAAAATATGTAGCTTATTCTTGAGTTAGATGCTTATTTTTCAATCAGTGGAAAAGATGAGAGGGAATTATTTTCAAAAATATCAGTCTTATTCTCTTCTCTATTTTGTTAATGATACCATTTTCCTACCTATTAACCAAGATCAATATTTTAGTTAAATTTTTGTCTTCAGCTTCCTTTTATTTTCAATTAACTCCCAATCCCTGGCTCTTGATTGATTTAATCACACCTTCCCTGCTATGTCAACCACTGCCATTCTTTCCCAAGACCCTTAACATTTTACCCTTTAATACACTAAGCATTATCTAACTGCATAAGCCTTATTCTTTTCCACTCCTTAGCTGCCCTCCTCAGCATTTCAGTTTGCAATGCTGTTATCCTCCTTTCGGCCTACATATCACATAGAAGAGCAACCAGTACATTCTGCAAATGATTTCTTTCCCCTGAGCTGAGACAGCTTTTATATCTGTCATTTAGCATCTGAGCATGTGTTGCATTATATTTCTCATAATTGTTATATTGGTTTTTTTAATTTGTCGTTATGCTATTTAGATGTTTATCTCTTTCTCATTTTTATTGAACTATATTATAATCAAGTAGACACATTTTAAATACAGATAGATGGATCTGGTTGTTTGTTTGTTTGGTTGGTTTTGAGGGGAGAGACACCAAGCAGTGCTCAGAGCTTACTCCAGGCTCTGCACTCAGGGATCATTCCTGGTACAGTGCAGGGGAACCATATGTGGTGCCGGGGATACAGCCCTGGTTGGCCACATGCACAGCAAGCACCCTGCCTGACATACACTCTCACTCTCTCTCTCTCACTCTCTCTCTCTCTCTCTCTCTCTCTCTCTCTCTGTACCTGATAGATGGATATTTTTGAGATAAAAATTTCCTTGGTGAGGGCTGGAGTAATAGTACAGTGGGTAGGGAGTTTGCCTTGAATGCAGCTGACCCAAGTTCGATCCCCAGCATCCCATATGGTCCCCTAAGCACTGCCAGGAGTAATTCCTGAGTGCAAAGCCAGGAGTCACCCCTGCACATCTCCAGGTGTGACCCAAAAAGCCAAAAAAGAAAAATTTTTTTCCAGGGCTTTACTCTTGGTTCTATGCTCAGGAATCAATCAATCCTGGCAGAGCTCATGGACTATACATGAGGCCAGGGATTGAACAGGGTTAGCCATATGGAAGGGAAGCAAGCACCTTTTTCTGGTACATTTCTTATACCACACTGAAGCCTCCATATTCACTCACCTATCAATAGACCACCTACTGATAGTCATTCAGTAGACCACCAGATGTGCCAGGAATTATAGCAGGTGCTAGGGACATAGTTTCATATATTTCACAATTTCCATATTGTCAATGTAGAGAAAATCGATAACATACACGGGTATACCTAAGTAAGCATTCTAGGTACACACAGAAAACTGCCTAGGGAAGTTAAAATTTCAGACAATGGTTTTGGGAAAATATTTTAGAGTTTTCCAGGTATTAACTGGTGACAACTATTTTCAGGTTTATAAAAGGGGTGATAGTGGCTGGAGTGATAGCACAGAGGGTAGGGTGTTTACCCTGCCCGCAGCTGACCCGGCCGACCCAAGTTTGATTCCTCCCCCCCTCTCAGAGAGCCTGGCAAGCTACCGAGAGTATCTCGCCTGCACAGCAAAGCCTGGCAAGCTACCCGTGATGTATTCGATACGCCAAACACAGTAACAAGTCTCACAATGTTACTGGGCCCACTTGAGCAAATCAATGAACAACGGGAGGACAGTGACAGTGATAGTATAATAAAGCATAAAGGCCAATTATTCAAATGCCATTTTTATAATAACTTTATGGAGATTATAACTCACATAAATAAATTTTTCTTTTCTTTTTTTTTTTTTTGGCTTTTCGGCCACACCAACGGTGGCTCAGGAATTATTCCTGACTTTGCACTCAGGGATCATTCCCTGAATAAGCAGTACTCAAGGGATCATACGGGGTGTCAGGGATTGAACCCCAGTTGGCCACATCCAAGGCAATGCCCTACCTGCTATACATTTGCTCCAGCTCCAAATTTACCTTTTAAGAAGTATACAAACACAGGGTTCTTTTTAGTATTTCAAAGTTGTATATTTCTGCAGGGCTGGAGCGATAGCACAGCGGGTAGGGCGTTCGCCTTACTAAGTGGCCAACATGGCCGACCCGAGTTCGATTCCTCCGCCCCTCTCGGAGAGCCTGGCAAGCTACCGAGAGTATTCGATATGCCAGACACAGTAACAACAAAGTCTCCAATGGAGACGTTACTGGGCCCGCTCGAGCAAATCGACGATCAACGGGAGGGCCTTTACCTTTACCTTTACCTATATTTCTGCTATCTAACTTTACAATATTTTTGTTCCAAAATAATACTGAACACATCGCCAGGTGTGACCCAAAAAGCAAAAATTATAATAATAATAATAATAATTTCTTTCTTTTTTTTTTTTTTTTTTTTGCTTTTTGTGTCACACCTGGCAATGCACGGGGTTAACTCCTGGCTCTGCGCTTAGGAATTACCCCTGGCGGTGGTCAGGGGACCGTATGGGATGCTGGGAATTGAACCCCAGTTGGCTGGGCTGCATGCAAGGCAAATGCCCTACCCGCTGTGCTATTGTTGTAGCCCTGGTATTACAATACTAATTATACAGAAATATAATAACAATTTTAAAAATATTTTTTGGCTTTTTGGGTCACACCTGGCAATGCTCGGGGAATACTCTGAGTTCACAGCCAGAATCATTCCTGGTGGTTCTCGGGGGACCATATGCTTTGCCAGGGATCAAACCCGGGTTGGCTGCATGCAAGGCGAATGCCTTACCTGCTGTACTATTACTCTGATCCCAACAAACATATTTTTAAAATATAACTTATATGTCTCCTTAATATACTAAGTAACAAAATATAGCAGAGTAACAACTACCATAATTTCAAAGTGGCAATGGTTGCAAGTGCTACTCAAGTTATTTTCAATACTAGTAGTATTATGTGGAAACATACCTGCTAGGGCCCAGAAGATGGGGAAATGGTCAAAATCATCAGAACTAAAAATTTCATCTACAAAACTGAGTTTACATGGGAAGGAGTGGTAGCTAGGAAAGCTTGAAAACACTGGTGGAGAGAGAGGGCACTTGGCACACTTCTAACCCTGATTCCACTTCATGACCAATGAAAACCCTGGTCTTCTATATATCAGTCCTTTGCTAGTGTCCTTAGTAGCATTCATGGAGCGATAGCACAGCAGTTGGGCGTTTGCCTTGCACGCGGTCAACATGGCCAATCCAAATTCGATTCCTCCGCCCTTCTCAGAGAGCTCAGCAAACTACCAAGAGTATCTTGCCCGCATGGCAAAGCCTGGCAAGCTCCCCGTGACATATTTGATTACTTGACAGTAACAAGTCTCACAATGGAGACGTTACTGGGTCCACTCAAGCAAATTGATGAACAACGGGAGGACAGTGCTATTACCTGGAAATGTTTAATTTGCATTTCTGTTTATGATTTGTTTTCATGTCTCTCTTCTACCCAGGAATACGAGCTCCATGAAAGCAGGCATGAGATCTATGTTGTGACCACTCTTGTAACAAGCCAGTGTAGAGTGCCTTATGTCCTCTTTTAACATACACGTTTTGAGTAAAGAACCTGACATTGTTTTATGAGGAAAGTCCAGTACTGATTTTTTGCAGACTAGCTTTCCTGGATTTAGGGAAATCTTGACTTTCCCAAACATGCTTGTTGCTTTAATTATTATTCTCTTCTGCTTTCTCCATCTTAGATAATTCTTATTATTCACACAATGAAATTCCATGCTATACCTTCCACGTGCTAAATTATTTTTTGTTATTCTAATAATCTCTTGTACAATCAAAGTATTTCCATAGCAATTTTCTGATACATCAATACTTTCTGAAATATAGTTTACCATCTTATTATTTCTACCCCTAATGTGATCATATTTTATGCAGATTCAATACTTTGTATTTGTTTTCATTTAATTTTAACAATATTGTGATGATTATATTTTTAGGTTTTTTGTTAATTTCTCAGTTTGGGGGAGGGGGGTATTTGTTTGTTTTTGGCCAAACCTGTTAAAGTTCAGGGCTTACTCCTGGTTCTGTACTTAGGGGTCACTCACAGCAGTACTCGAGGGACCATACACTATGCTGGGAAACAAAACTGGGTTGGCTGCATTCAAGGTAAATACCTTACCCCGTACTATCTCTCCACCATGATACATGTACTTTTACTTATTTCATAGATGAAAGGACAGGAGCATAATAAAGTTAAATAATTGGCATAAACATACAGACTTGGAAGTGGTAGGACCAGAATTCAGATGCTGGTCTATTTGACTTCATAGATCATAACTTACAATTTATACTGTCTTCCTCACTTTGTATTCTTTTCTATTTCCTGAATTTTTTAAAGGACTCTTTTTTTTTTCATGGAAAAGCTTATTTTAAAGGAAAAAAATAGATATCATAGAAGAAGGTAGGAAAAAAAAAGATGGTAGGTTTTTTTTTTAGTAGTGGTAAACAGAAGAAGCTTCCAAGCCACAACTATTAATAAAGCCCAGGCTTTTGTTTTGCTTTAATGTTTTGGGGCCACATCCAGCTATGCCTATGGCTTACTCTGGGCTCTGTGTTCAGGATTCACTCCTGGCAGTGCTCAGGAGATCATATGGTATGCCAAAGGTTGAATCCAAATCAAGGCAAGCACCCTACCCTTTGTACTGTCTCTCAGGCCCAAAACCGAGGGTGTTCCATTATCTCAGAGAAAGAAATGGCAGGGATCAAATCCAGGCCTTCTGCATTTAAAGAACATGCTCAGCCTATTGAGCTGTTTCTCTAGCCCCTCTATTTTCATTTTTAATAGAGATAGAGAGATAGAGTCCTCCCGTTGTTCATCGACTTGCGCAAGCAGGCCTAGTAACGCCTCCATTTTGAGACTTGTTGTTACTGTGTTTGGCATATTGAATACTTAACAGGTAGCTTGCCAGGCTTTGCCATGCGGGTGAAATACTCTCTGTAGCTTGCCAGGCTCTCTGAGAGGGGCGGAGGAATCGAACCGGCTGTGCCGGGCCGGCTGCTCTACCGCTGTGCTATCGCTCCAGCCCCATTTTTTTTTATTAGTGAGCCATCATGCTAATCTTCTCTGTATCGTTCCAATTTTTGTATATGTGCAGCGGTAGGGCATTTGCCTTACAAGCGGCCAACATGGCCGACCCGAGTTCGATTCCTTCGCCCCTCTCGGAGAGCCCGGCAAGCTACCGAGAGTATCTCGCCCACATGGCAGAGCCTGGCAAGCTCCCCGTGACGTATTCAATATGCCAGACACAGTAACAAGTCTCATGATGGAGACGTTACTGGGCCTGCTCGAACAAATTGATGAACAACGAGATAACCGTGACCATGACCGTGAGACATCATGAGGTACAGTTGTAGACTTACAAATTTTTGTGCTTGGATTTCAATTATACAATGATCAAATACCCATCCCTCCACCAGTGCCCATTTCCCACCACCACGGATCCCAGTATCCCTCCCATCCCCCAAGCCCCCCATCCCACCCTGCCTCTGTGGCAGGGTATTCCCTTTTGTTCTCTCTCTTTTATTGGGTGTTGTGGTTTGCAAAAGAGGCAATGGGTGACAATCATGTTTGGTCTATAGTCTACTTTCAGCATGCTTCTCCCATCCTGGGAGGATCCTCCCAACACCCTTTATTTGGTGCTCCGTTCTCTATCTGAGCTCCCTTTTCCCCTAGCATGTGTGGTTGGCCTCCAAGCCATGGAGTAAAATTCCTGGTACTAATCTCGGCCATTCTTGGGTGTTAGTCTCCTATTTTGTTACTTTATGTTCCCCAAATGAATGCAATCTTTCTATGTCTATTCCTTTCTTTCTGAGTCATTTCGCTTAGCATGATACTTTCCATGCAGTACCACTTGTATGTAAATTTCATGACTTCCTCTTTTCTAACAGCTACATAGTACTCCACTGTGTAAATGTACCAAAGTATCTTTAACCAGTCATTTGTTCTTGGGCACTCAGGTTTTTTTTCCAGATTCTGGCTATTGTAAAGAGTGCTGCAATCAACAAACAATTTTTAATAAAATAAACCAATGCTCCTAGGGAAAAATTATTAAAATCTGTTTTTGTTTGGCTTCCTTTTTTTTTTTGGAAGGGGGTAGATACCAAAACAGTCAGTGCCCTGGGCTTTTTCCTGGTTCTATGCTCCAGGATTATTCCTCATGGCTCTCAAGAGAACTATATGCAATCAGCTGCATGCAAAGCAAGCACCTTTTCCCTGTATGACTAATATTTTCTTAAATTATTATTTTAACTCTACCCTTATCCTACTATGTGTAAATATTTCAAGTATTAAAAAATTTTTTATTTTTAAACCGTGTCTTACATTGTTCAGGCTGGACAGATGAGTAACTCCCAAGACTTAATAACTGGCTGGTAAATGTTGATTGAAGTACTGTCTCACCAACCCAGTGATCCTCATGAACAGTAATATCTAGAAAGTAAAAAGGAAAACTTTTATCATGCCACCAATTTCTTCATACTGTGATTATAAGACATGGTAAAATATTATGCATGCACTCAACACCACTAGTAAATAAAAAAAGGGTTAAAAATAAGTCTACTGGGACTGGAGTGATAGCAGGTAGAGCATTTGCCTTGCACGCAGCCGACCCGGGTTCAAATCCCAGCATCCCATATGGTCTCCTGACCACCGCCAGGAGTAATTCCTGAGTGCAAAGCCAGAAGTAACACCTGAGCACCGCCAGGTGTGACCCAAAAAGCAAAAAAAAAAGACAAAAAAAACAAACAAAAATAAGTCTACAAAGTTGGAGCAATAAACCTGGGTTCAATCCCTGGCATCCAATATGGTCCCCCAAGCACTGCCAGGAGTGGTTCCTGAGTGCAGAGCCAGGAATAACCCCTGAGCATCACTGGGTGTGATACAAAAAGCAAATAATAATTATAATAATAATAATAATAAGTTCACATAGATAAAACTGTAAGAAAACAAAGAACCTGATGATATGATCTGGATGCTAATATACAAAGTTAGAAGGTTTCAAAGGAACGCTTCTTAAAGACAATTCAGTAGAAAAGAAGAATAGAACTAGAACAGAACAAAGGTCCTCAGAGAGCAGTGTACAGTATTGTTATCATTATATCATCATTAACAATGATAAGGAAACTAACACCAATGCTATAGAAATGTATCATGCTAGCGTCCAGGAAAGGTAGATGGTTAAAAAAAAAAGACTAGGTCTCAAAAGCTTAAGAGAGTCTGGCTGGATGGGGGGGGTTATTTATTTTATAAAATAAATTACCACTGTACCATGATGACCTTACCTGTGAGTAATATAATATCTCCAAGAAACAATGTAAGTGCCCAAAATGCTGCAGTCCTCCATAAAAAAACCTTCTTCTGAGTTTCTGATTGATCAATCACCACAATTGTTGCTAAAGGTACTTTTGAGCCAGAATTTGGTCCTGATTTTATAGTTATTTCTTTCACGTGACACGGAGATAACACCATAACTAAACAATTATACTTCTGACTTTTAGAAAAGCAATCTTTTATTAATGTTGTTTTTTTAACTCCCTTAAATCCATACGCCTTCCTCTGGTTCACTGCTACAGTAGAATCTTCAGTACTAGAAACTAACTTAATTTTCTTAGCTACTTGGAGAACTTTAGACTGAGCTTTAGAGAGGCACATTTTATCCTGAGAAGTACAACTTCTTTTAACAGGACTTTTGTGGAAGGTATTTACTTGTGAATATAGTATCCCCGAGTTACAGGACTCAACATATATCTCATTTGGCGGCAGTTTAGCTTCAGAAGTGAAGATCTGCTGAAATGCTGTATTCCCTTTAAGATCTTTATCAGACTCGATGTGGCTATGGCAACTTTTTGTTTCAGGACAAACAGGACTAAAAAGTTCAAGGGAATATGCTTGGGTTTGTTCATTCTCATAGCCTTCTGCCAAATCATCCTTAGGTTGAATCTCTTTTTCTTCAGTTACTCCTATTTCCCCGTCACCTGCCTTTGATTCAATATCCAAGCTTATGGCCCTTTTATTTGTAGAATTTTGCTTTTCATACTCCCTTTGAGCTAAAAAAGCAACCTGGCTAGAGGTCATTATACTGAGAAATTCAGTATCAGTAGATATCTTAAGATCTGAGACCATCTTAACTGACCTTGCAGACACTGGCTTATCTACTGTATTTGAAGAAAAAAACTTCAAACTTCTGTTTCCTATTTCATGATGTTCTGTTGCTATACATTTTGTCTCAGTTGCTACTGGGCCTATCTTAACCTGTTCAGTATCACGTTCCAAATCTAACAGGGTTTCAAATTTATGATCTAACTGAAAGGAATTACTTTGAAAGTTTTGACCACATAAATTTGACTGGTTTTTATGCTGTTCACTTGTGATCTTCTTGATTTCACTGAAATGTTTTTGATACTTTTCTTCCTCAGTTAAATCTTGAACTCTGTTCTTAAATCCACATATTTGTACATCAGAATTAGTAGTAACACTCATTCCAAAGGAGTGAATCTTCTGAGATTTAAGAGTCTGTGTTTCAGACATACAATGTACAAGTTTATCTTTCATATCAACAGATCTATTCATAGGATTTGTTGGGTCAACAACATCTGTTACTTGATCATATTCAAGATTATGCTTGCATTCTTCATCCTTTAGATGTAAAGAATGCTGATCATAAAAAAGCTTAATTTTTTTCCAGGGATCAGCAGTTGAAGTTAAAGAAGTTGATTCCTGTGGTACTGTCATTTCCGATGAACTAATTGGAGCCCCCCAAAAAATGTGAATTTGAGATCCTCCATTCATGGTTTCTGGGGGGAAAAAAGAAATACCTAAAATGAGAATTTTGTCAGTAGGCTTTTAAACATTGATATTAACTTCATAATATGTCAAAAATAAATAATATAAACTATAACTCGAGGGACAGGAGAGTAGCTCAAAGGGCTAGTACCTCAGGATTGCATGCTTGAGATCCCAGTTCAATCCCTAGAACATATGGCCTCTAGACATTATTTGTTCTCAGCACTCCTTGATCCATGCACTGAACCACCAGGCCTGCTGGCAGAGTACAGCCCAAAGTGACCTCCGGGTCCTCTGAGCATCTAGAAAGTCCCTCACAAAAATAAATTATGAGCCCTAACCATAATGAACAGAGATTATTTCATACTCCACTTAATCATAAAATTCATCAATGTATAAGAAAGCATTTTGGGGGGAAACAATCAAAAAAGAAATAAAAAATACTCACATATTCTTTTTGGGGGGTGAGGAAGTGAAGGAAGGAGGCCACTCAGTGATGCTCTGAGGCTACTCCTGGCTCTACACTCAAGAATTACTCCTAGTAGTGCTTTAGGGACCATATGGGATGCTGGGGATTGAACTCAGGCCAGCCACATGCAAGGCAAGTGTCCTACCTGTGTACTATCTCTCCAGCCCCTCACATAGATTTTTTTAGTGAAAAAAATTCAAGTATACAAATATCAAATGGGTAAATTCTTAGTATGTTTAGTTCTTATGTTGTATAAACTTACATATTTTAATTTTTTGGTTTGGGGGCCACTCCTGGTGATGCTCAGGGGTTACCCTGGATCTTCTCATTACTTCTGGGGTGCTTGAGGGACTATATGGGATGCCAGGGATTGAACCTTGGTCATCAGTGGAAGGTAAACACCCTATCTGCTGTACTATTACTCCAGCCCCTATATTTGCACATTTAAAATAAGTCAGTAAAAAAGGTGCAAAAGTCTTGTTTTAATTGTACTATAGCCATCTTTAAATTCTGCTTTTTTTCATATTTCAAGTTACTTCATAAATTTAGAGTCTCCTTCCTTTAAAATTAATTGCCAAGACCAATATTCAGACTCAAACCAGGGGCCAATAGTGGAGTGGGGAGGCTGTATGCCTTGCATGTGGCCAACCCAGGTTTGGCATCCCATATGGTCCCCCAAGCACCACCAGGAGTAACTCCTGAGTGCAGAGCCAGGAGTAATTTCTGAGCATCACTGAGGGTAACCCAAAAAGAAAAGAAAAAAAAGATTCAAATCAGAATATAGTGAAAGTAAGAGAGGGAAAAAAAAATGCGGTTCACTTCAAAATGTACAAATGAGGGGCTTGAGAGATAACATAGCAGGTCACTTGTCTATCATGGGGCCAACCTGGGTTTGATCCTTGGCTTCCCCCAGCACTGCCAGGGGCCCTGAGCACTGCCAAGTGTGGCCCCAAAACCAAAAAATAGAAGATAATGTGCAAATGACTGTATTATCTATTTTAAATCCAAACTGTTAGCACAATCAGTGTTATTTTTCCTTTTTTCCCTCCTCCCCCTCTAAAGATGCTTGGCCTAATGTTTTGGTGCTCAGCCCAGCAGTGTGATGCTTGGGGCCATAAGACCACATAGTACCAGAGATAAATCCATCTTAGCTTCTTCCCTAGCACTGTTTTTTTAATTTCTTAATTGTCTCTAAAATACAAGTTATGTTTGCAATCTGTGGGTAAATACATTCTAACTTTAAATTTTAACTACTATGTCACTTAGCACGAGAAAATTAAAGCACTCACCTTCACTGAGATAAAAATCATACCTCTATTTGAACATAAATGACCTTCAAAAAGTATTTATTAGTGCTAGAGAGCTAGCACAGTGGGCAGGATGCTTTCCTCAAATGCAGCCAACCTGGGTTTGACCCCCAGCACTGTAAATGGTCCCTAAGAACTATCAGGAATGATCCCTGAGCACAGGACCAGGAAAAAGTCCTGAGCATCAGGTATGACACCCAAAAGAAGTGATTGTAAATGAAGAGTCCCAAAATTATATAATAAATACTATCACCTACAAATAAGAAATGACAATCTCTTAAGAAAAAATATTAATATGAAACACCTGCGTAATAGATCCCAAGAAGCACTACGTGCCAGTGCCCTAATATTTAACCATATGGCACAGTTGAATGAGAAATTCCAGGAGCAGCACAATGACCCCCAGAGTACCTATTAGGAGGTCTCTCCAAAGAAAGTACCAATAATATGGCAGCAAAAATAAATGACTACAAGTCACATGAATACATGTTATAAACATAACTTTGTCATAAAAGCAATCTGAAGAACATCTAATTTGTAATATCAGTATATTGAGGGGCTGGAGCGATAGACAGTGGGTAGGAAGTTTGCCTTGCACGCGGCCAGGTCGGCCGACCTGGGTTCGATTCCTCCGCCCCTCCTGGAGAGCCCAGCAAGCTACCGAGAGTATCTCGCCCACACGGCAAAGCCTGGCAAGCTACCCATGACGTATTGGATATGCCAAACACAGTAACAGTAAGTCTCACAATGGAGACGTTACTGGGTCCGCTCGAGCAATATATTGAGATTTTAAATATGCCAGAAAAAAAAAAAACATCATATCAGTATTATGATTATCTCTAGGAGAGGCTAATGGGGATGTGATAAAGAATACATTAGAAATTTCATATTTAATATATTTTTTACCCAGGTGTGGGCTGGAGCGATAGCACAACAGTAGGGCATTTGCCTTGCATGCAGCCGGCCAGCTGAGTGAGGTTCGATTCCTCCGCCCCTAACGGAGAGCCCGGCAAGCTACCAAGAGTATCTTGCCTGCACGGCAAAGCCTGGAGAGCTACCCGTGACGTATTCAATGTGCCAGACACAGTAACAAGTCTCACGATGGAGACGTTACTGGGCCCGCTCGAGCAAATGCATGAACAACAGGAGGACAGTGCTACAGTACTACGCAGGTATGGTTACCCAGGTGTGGTTACAAAAATATTCCTTATGTTGTTTAGAAATATATTATAATGCAAAAAATTCCTAGAAAGAAAATGTTAAGAAGCAAGATTAGGGGCTGGAGAGATAGCACAGTGGGTAGGGCGTTTGCCTTGCACGTGGCCGACCTGGGTTCGATTCCCAGCATCCCATATGGTCCCCTGAGCACCGCCAGGAGTAACTCCTGAGTGCAGAGCCAGGAGTAACCCCTGTGCATCGCCGGGTATGACCCAAAAAGCAAAAAAAAAAAAAAAAAAAAAAAAAAACCGCAAGATTAAGGATGATTTTTAAAAGATTTCTATATTTTAAGTTTTGCTGTGATGAACAGTGAATGTGTAGCACAGTGGTAGGGCATCTGCCTTGCACGCAGCAGACATGGCCAAACCGAGTTCGATTTGTCCTCCCCTCTCAGAGAGCCCGGCAAGCTACCGAGAGTATCCCACCCGCAAGGCAAAGCTTGTGAATTTGATACGTTAAACACAGTAACAACAAGTCTCACAATGGAGATGTTATTGGGCCCACTCGACCAAATCCAACGGGAGGATAGTACTATAGGATAGTTTTAACAATAATTAAATAAATCTCTTTTGTTTGGTAATTCAAGCCTTTCTTTTAAAATCTTCAAACTAAATACAATGTTGCAAGGTTATATAACCATAAACATAAACTTCAGAATAAGAACTGAGAATAAGGACGGAATGATAATACAGTTGAGTAGGTTACTTGGCTTGCACACAGACATCCCAGGTTGAAGCCCCAGCACACCATATGGTTCCCAGAGCTCCCCCAGGAGTGATCCTTGAGCATAGAGCCAGTAATAATCCCTGAACACTGCTGGTGTGACCCTAAATAAATAAAAACAAAAAAGGAGTAATATCCAAGCACTATAGAGTATGGCAAAAAAAAGTCAAAGAAATAATTATCATTAATCACTATAACCATATATTGCACCTTCATGAAAATAATAGCCATTTTCCATTTACTAATTCAGGTTTTACATTTAAATGTTATTTTTATAATAGTCACTAGGGGGCTCCAAATAGCACAGCAAAACTACGTTCAAAAGATCAAACACCAGAAAAGTATTATCTGTTATACAGGTGGGAATATTCAGACACATTTGTAAAAAAAAAAAAATGCATGACATTAATAATGAGCTACCCCTATCAAATCTTGGGCTTCTCCCCAACGCGTCTTCTGGTTAGCTTCAAATCTAAAGTATTTTACAATCTCATGTTCTTTGTTCTCATGTCCCATTGACATTTATTTTTTTCTTGGCCATACCTGCTGATGCTGGGGCAAACAAGTGGTGCCTGATGAACTTGGGCTCCTGAACACAAGACAAGCACTGCAGTCTTTTAAGCGATTTTCCAAGGCCTCATGCCCCATTTAATTGCAGCTTCTACTCCAATCATTTTGCTTTAACACTTTTTTAAAAGAAACTAATGACCTTTAATAGTCAAATCCAAAGGTCAGTTTTCAACGCCTATCTTACTGCCATTTGAAACTATTAAGCCCTCTTTCCTAAAACATTCTACCTTTTTGATTCTGTAAGCTCATAAAATTAGAATTATTTTGTGTTTAAGAAACAGATCATTAGTTTATTCATTCAATCATTCATGTAAGAGATTTACTCACTGTGCAAGGCATTAAGCTATTTCAACAGTAACCATAAGGCAGTTAGAGTCTAATGGAAGAGATTATATGACAATTATAACATGGTTGTCTTGAGCTGCCACAAAATTAAATGTAATGTCGTTTATAGAAGGAAAAAACCTGGTCAAATCAACCAAAGTAGAATTCTGCCTTTACACACTTTTTTTTAATAGGTTCTTTAGACAACATTAAATTACAAAATTTTAAACTAAACTTAAATAATGTTTATTAAGTGGATTAAATAAACTCTCCAAGACATGCCTCCCCACCACCCAGCATGGTGGAAAGCAGCCTTAATTGCCTAACCCAAATCACAGACCTGTAACAAGTAACTTCGAAAATATTTCCAAAATACTTCAAGAGAATGTAAGACACTGTTTCCATGTTCTCACTTAACATTTTCTCCTAAATGTCCTTCAATTTTCTATTTCCTGCTTCTATTAAGATGACAACAAATTCCAAACGGTCAAATAGGTACTTCCATACTTTACCTATGAAGCTCACTGACTTCTAGAAGATTTACTTTTCTTAACTCTTCTACCTCTCTGATTCCTTTCCCTTTCCCTCCTTTTCCTTAGACCCTCTCTTCTCATTCCTCACATCTCCCCAGAAATTCTTCCAATATCATTCATCTAACTACCAAATGTTCAACTTTTTGGTATCCAAGGAGATAGGTCAAAAGGTCAGAGCACATGTCTGGCATGTGTGAGGCTCCAGGTTCAATTTCCAGCACCAACTAACTCCCTGGGCACTGCCAGCTGTAGTCCTGATAACCCATGGAAACTCCCTGAGCACAGTCAGGTGTAACCCTAATAGTCAAATCCAAAGGTCAGTTTTCAACCCCTATCTTACTGCCATTTGAAACTATTAAGCCCTCATACAGCATTTCCAGGATGAGCGTTCAAGCCCACACTGGAGACACCTCTGGATTCCTGAGCACTGCTGGGGAGCACCCCCAAATTAATAAAACAGATATACTTTAAAAAAATACATCTGATTATATTTTACCAACCTATATGACCAGCCACTGACTATCCTAGTATCACTTTTATTTCTAGTATCTCTATATTTGACAAGATAACAGCAAACTAAATAAAAAGCAGTATTTTATTTAGTTTTTTTTCTTCAAAAGAATGTCATATTAAATCACCCTACATCCAGAGTAAATTACATAGTCTGTGGATGCAAATTGGTCTGATTTGTAAGGCCATGAGCCCGAGCTCTCCAAGATTCAGAGACCTGCTGTTCTGTAGACAGGGGAAAATAGTATAAGCAAAATGGGATGACACAACGCAGTCGGGAGAATCAAGAGATTTTTTCGGACTAGAAATGTCGGAAATAAATCAAAGTTCTATAGAACACAAGATTATTTATATATAATCATTATCTCAGTATACCTTCATATATTTTTCTAAATATATATATATATATATTCCAGAAGGATGAGACTCTCCCCTTCTCAAAACAAAACAAAACTGATTCGTTTTGTTTCGTTTTGTTTTGAAAGCAAGGTCACGTAATTTTAAAAAAAGAATTTTAAGTGTATATGCTAAGACTACTACTACAAAGTATTTTTAATTTATGGAAGTTGTGAGTATATAAGCGGAAGGATGCGATCAGGGTAGGGGGTAAATAAAACATTTGTCTTAGCAAAAACAGACTGAAGCATTGTTAGGAAAACACACATTTCAATGATTCTAGAATATGTTTTAGGTGTATTAAAAGGGTTAAAACTCATTAAGATACCAGATGAAACTTGCAAGTACATATCCATTACCGTAGTTAATAATTTACACAATTTCTCAATCTGTAAAAGGCCACTTCAGTCAGATAGACCAATACAACCATAACCCTTTATCTTTAGAGTGGTCAGAGTCTGATGAATGGGTCAAAGATTTATAAAACAGGAAGAACTGTATCAGCAGGTTTTGTCTTTGCCAAACACTCCACTAAAAATGCTTATTACAAAATATATGTGGTGTAAAGAGAGTGTTTTCTCATTCTTATTACCAATCCAAAACAATACTACATATCCATCTAAATTTATTTTACCAAAAACACTAAGCCGTGTAAGTTATTCAATATCACTGAATGACAAAATGAAAAGGCAGCACTGAATTGTAATTGGAAGAATGGGATTGGGAGTAAGAACTATGTGGGTTAAAACTCCTCTGCTAGTTACGGGGTTCAATTAATTACTCTGGCTCTGTGTATATTTTAAAACAACCAAAATAAAAATTAAATTCTTGTATATATGTCAAATGACAATCATGATTTCTTATCTGAAAAATGAGAGCAACCATCAATCCCTAACTTATAGTGCTATTTTGAGATGGGCACAAAGCAGCTACTCAACAAATGTTGAATCCTAAATCTTGAAAATTCAACACACATACCTGAAAGCACAAAGAAAAAACAACCCGTATAGGATATATACTTTCCAATGAAAAGAAATCCTTAGACTCTGACCATAGACTGAGGTTATCAGGACGATGGGCAGCAAAATGACAGGGTCTGATGGACTGTGGTGGAGGGATATTGGCCCTTTGCTGGTAGGCCTGGTGTAATAACACTATTCCCATAGGACACATAAGCATTTATACCCTTAGAAACCAATATAACTGTAGTAATTTTTAAAAATTTCAAATTTCAAGTTTTGTTTTTAATGTATACTTTATAATTAAAATCATAAACTGTCTACAGCACAGAGGGTAGGGCGTTTGCCTTGCATATTGCTGACCCAGGTTCGATTCCTCTGTCCCTCTCGGAAAACTCGGCAAGCTACCCAGAATATCTTGCCCACACAGCAGAGCCTGGCAAGCTCCCCGTGGCATATTCAATATGCCAAAAACAGTAACAACAAGTCTCACCATTTGTTGTGAGACGTTACTGGTGCCCGCTAAAACAAATTGATAAACAACGGGAGGACAGTGCTACAGTACTACCCTTAGTAAATTAGGAATTGTATGTAAGCATGTACAAGGAAACACAAATTAATTAAAAATAGCTAGTTAAAGAGATAAGCAAGGGGTGGGAGAGACAGATCAGGGCTGAGGAGTACACATCTTTTATGCACAAGGACCCAATTCTACCTGGGCACTTCTTGATCTCCTATGCAGTGTAGCTCTGGTAGACCCCTAGAACTGCTGGGCCTAAGTAGCATCACATCACAGAATCCTAACATGGAGCCATGGGCCCAGTAGACCAAGAATTTATGGGATAACTCCAGGGCTTTCTGAGCACTGCTCGGGAGATGTTAATTTATTAGTTAATTACTTTTCATGTATCTGAGATTGCATAATTTATAATAGTCTTAATAATGATTTCTCATGCACATAATTCCAATACCACTGCCATCACCAGTGTACTCACTTTCCTCCCTAAATTAAAACATTTTTAATAAAGGTAAGTAGGTTTATATATAAAAAGAAATATAGGAGCCAGAGAGATAGTAGAGCACGTAGGGTGTTTGCCACAGCTGACCATGGTTTGATCCCTGGCATCCCATATGGTTCCCTGAGCACAGCCAGGAATAATTTCATAGTGCAGGCCCAGAAGAAACCTCTGGGTACTGCCAGTTGTGCTTCCAAACAAAAAGAAATTAATTAAGAGAAATATGTGGTTTAAAATACTAAAAACAGTGTCGGGGAGATAGTCAGTAGCAGAGGACACGATAAACATGTGCAAAGCCCTGAATTAGATCCTTGATACCACACGCCCCCACATCACCAGCACTGCCAGTTGCAAACTCTGAGCAACTGCAGGGCCAAGACTGGAAATGTCAGCATGTCTATACAAGGATTAATCACCACTGCAGTGATCCCAATTAAAAAAAAACCTGAAAACATCTACTCTCCTTTAAAAAATGAAAAGAGCTGGGAAGGTGTGTCAACAGCAAAGCATGCACTTGGCATGTCTAGGTCTAAGTTCAATCCTTGGCATTAAAAAAAAAACAAAAAATAAAAAAAATACAAATAAAATATTTCTACCAATCAAAGTAGCAAAGACTCATTAACAAGTTAAAAATATACCAGGAAATTACTCAAACTCATAGGAGTTTAAACCGGTAAAAAATTTTCTGGAGGGCAATATATGACAAGTCTTAAAATTATTCATCCATCCTATCTCTCCAGTATTTTGTCTTTGCAAAACTGTGGTATTAAAATCCAAGACATAACACTGCTTGGTTATGTAAAATATATTAAGAACGCACTGACTTATCTACAAGGTTATAAAAAGAACAAAATTTCAATATAAGGGGGCTTCATTGTTAAAGAATTACACCTAAAAAGTCCACTAAATTATAAGCGCTACTAAGGTGATTTTTAAGCCCTATGAGGGTGATTTTATAGTACAGCAGGTAGGACACTTGCCTTTCTTTCATGCAGCCAACAGGTTCAATCCTCAGCATCCCATACAGTCTGCCAAGCCCATCAAGAGTAACCCCTAAGCACCAGCCAAGTGTGGCCCAAAACACACAAATTTTTATTTTAATTTTAAAGAGGTCTTTATAGCTTATTTAACTCTACTTCAAGGTTTCTAGACAATATCCCAAGTACAAAAGTCTCTTCACTAGGGACAAAAGGATAGTACAGCCTTGAGCATCGCTGGGTGTAACCCCAAAACTGAAAAGTCTTTTCCACTTTTCTCCACTATTGTCAAGAGTGACAAACTATTTGTTGCAATGTATGAGCTCCTCGAATTGATGAACATATTTACAGTGTGACATTCCCTAGCACTGTGGAGTTTCATTCTTTGCATGTGAAGATGATTCTAAATATTCTAAATGATCCTTTAAGGAACTCCAGGACTCTTTGTTCTGTAGATTTCTGTGTGGTCCTCTCTGTTCTAGTTTTCTACACCACAAATACTGACAGCTTTAGCTTCTTCTCAGACTTCTGGGCTCTAATTAGGTTCCCCTATAAAATGATATAATCTGGAAAATGCCTGCAGGCAATATGCTAGGATCCTGTAAGATTCAAGTCATTTATTTTGTTTATTTAACAATCACTGTCCTATAACTTTTGTTGTCTGATGTCTAAAACAACTTGTTTCACATTTTTTATCCCCCTTTTGTTTGTTTGTTTATTTATAGTAACTTTCTTCAATCTTTTTACCAGTGGACAAGCACTTAACCTAGTTTACAGGCCAGCAGTTATAACCAAGGCCTTAGACCAGTAATTTTCATGGACTGGTAGTTCAAGACCACTGGTTTCAAGCATAAGGGAAACTTTCACAGCAGTTAATCCTACATTAGTATCTATACTGTCTTTTTACAGTACTTTTTACATTTAGCATTTGCCCTAGAAATTAAAATATGCATGTTGGACCTAGGGAGATAGCTCAATGGGCTTTCCATGTAAAAGATGTCTGGGTTCCATTCCTGGCAGCACATGGTTCCCAGAGACCTGCCAGGAGGAGCCCCTGGGCAGTGCTGAGCATGGCTCCAAAAGAAAGCAAATGCATACTGAAGATTTTACAGCGCACTTTCAAACAAAAATAATTTAGAATATGAAAATCATGGCTGTATGATTACAAATGCACCTTTTGAATTCTTATAATTTTACACTACTTCTATGGTTGCAGCCAATATGGTAGTGGTAGTGTACAAAAAAGGAGGTACTGAAGGCCAGAGCCACATCCAGTGCCTTGGTTCCTGGAGTGTAGCCCACAGCCTCATACTTGTAAGGCATGTGCTCTACCACTTGAACTACGTTCCCAGTCCCACTGTTCTTCATTTTTTGCTGAAGATTCAAGGTTCCATCTGATCACTTTTATTTCTAGCTCACAGACTATATTATATTATTTCTTGGCATTTCAAGTCTACTAAAGACAAATTATTTTACTTTTTAATGTCTATAAATATTTGTTTTAACCTTATTTTATAGGTTATGTATTTTTAGTGAATATAAAATTATAAGTTGACATGGCTGTTTTTTTCCCCCCTTTCAACACTTTTATGAATGTCATTCCTGTATCCTCAAGCCTCCTTTTCCTTATGGTGAGTCATTACCATAATTATTATTGCACTTCCAAATATTTAAGACATCTTTTACTCTTCTTTTGCTGGTAAGAAAATGATATGCTTTGCTGGAATACATATGTATATGTAATATACTATTTTTTTGCTTAGATAATGGTTCTTGTTTGGGATTTCACCTACTTGGATCTTGTTCTTGAATTTGTAAGTTAATATAATTTATCAAATTAGACGTTTCCTGTTTGTTTTGGGAGGTCACATTCAGTGAGCCTCAGGGATCACTCCTGGTGGAACTCAGGGAACCGTATGTAGAGGTGGGGATTAAACCCAGGTGATACTCATGTAAAGCAAGGAAAGCACCTTACCTGCTATACTATTGGCCTCTCTGGACCAATTATCAAAATTCTGAACCACTGTTTCTTCAAGTATGTCCTTTACCACTTTTCCCTTTTCTTTCTAAAATTCTAACTGCACATTTACCAGATTATCTGTAATTATCTCACGGGTATGGTTGGTAAGCTCTTTAACTACCACTCTCCTACTCTTTTTATTAAATTTAAATCAATCTGTTAAATCAAATGTTCTATCAACATGTCTTTATATCCACTAACCCTTTCTTCTGATGCCAGGATGCTATTAAGATTATATATAGTGTAAAAGATGTCTTATATATTATATTAATGTCTAAAATTATCTTAATTTCTAATATTGCTATTATCTAAAATTTTGATTTTTGTCCTTTAGTATAGTTTCCACACCTATAAAAAATTTTCACCTGTTTGTTCATTCTGTATGCCTTTTCACTAAATCCACAAGCAAATTTTTTCAGTTACCTTAAAACACTGTCAGTTTCACTGTATTACTTTTGGTCACATTTTCTTGTGAATAGCAACATTTTTATAAGCCAGGTATTTTATACCAAAATTTATTTTTATTGACATAAGCAGTACTTTTCCACTAGAAGTAGATATGACTATAGCCAGACCACCAGAATGAAAACTGAATTGATCTTACCTGCAATTGAGTTGGGTCTGAACTCTGATGCACTTTAGTTAGACACAGTTCATCACATGCTTTAAATATTTAGAGGGTGAGAATCATGACTTTCACTTCAGCAGGATCTGGGATATGAGCCCAAGTAAGATTGTAGAGATCTGTTTGTACTTCACAGATAAGTCATCAGCTTTCAAAATGGTGGGAGTAATTCACATGTACACTGAAATTAAACAGATGACAGATGGTGTGAGACACATTTCCACTATTAGAGTCGTTTCTAGATAAAGCAAGGAAGATAGGATGAGCAGACTCACTTTGTAAATACATGGGCTGCAGAGATAGTACAGAGGGTAAGGTGCTTGTCTTGCAAGTGCCCAACCCAGGTCCAATCCCCAGCATCCCATATGGTCCCCCAACCACCAACAGAAGTAATTCCTGAATTCAGAGTCAGATGAAACCCCTGAGCATTGCTAGGTATGACCCAAAAGATTAAAAATAAAAATTATATAAGTACATCAGTATAAATTCAGGTAGTTTAATAGATATATAAATGGATTCATACAGAAATATTTAAAAGATTTAAAAGACATATATATGTATACATGTTAGGATATACACATATTATTTCATTGCTCTGTGAGCTAAGGGAGTCTACAAGCAACAACACTCCAGTATCAACAAACATATCTAGCACCTGTATCTTGGTTTCTCTTTTCTCCAGTTGAAGAAGGCAAAGATCCTTAAAGAAATGGTTGATTTCAGGACTGGGGCAAGACCTAATCAAGATGAACCTGAAGCATCATGTGACACCACAAAGAGAGGTATGAGTATGAGTGTGAGTGTGTGTGGACACGCACACGTGTATATTTGGGGTATGTGACAGAGCCTGGCAAGCTACCCGTGATGTATTCGATATGCCAAACACAGTAACAGGTCTCATGATGGAGACATTACTGGGCCCGCTTGAGCAAATCAATGAACAACGGGAGGACCATGACCATGACAGAGACAAGAAAACAACTGAAAATGTTCCCAAAGACCAAAGCTAGAACAATTTCACTAACATAAATGAGCCACAAATAACTGTATGATAACTGAAATAATTAAGACAAGGAGAATTACAGACGTAGCTAAGACACAAAGAGGTGAGTTTGAGGCCCAGTACCACCTGCATGCAGATACAATGCTGATGACAATACTGTTCATGATCCCAGTACTACAAAAAGTGAACTCCGGTACTCCACAACCAAACTGCAACTAAAAAATGTACAAGTACAGAAACCAAGTATGTGCAACATTTGCTCACCACCACCACAACAAACCATAAAAGGAAGGAGAGAGTGTAGGGCTGTTTTTTCTTATGCATAAAGGAGGTCCCTAAGAGATGGAGTACGTGTTTTACCAGTGGAATCACTGAGTTTGATTCCAACACATATACCCCCACTACCCGATTACTGTTGGGAGTGTCCCCCCTCTGCCCCCAACCCACACACAAAAGAGCATAAAGTATATATCCATGAGTTCAGACTAATTTTAAAAAAAAAGACTAGAGGGCTGGGAAGATAACTCAAAAGGTGGCTGGAGTGTATGCTTTGCATGCAGGAGACCTAGGTTCAATTCCCAGGACCACATGGTTTACCAAGCACCACCAGAAACAGCTCCTGAGCACTAACGTCAGTAGTAGCCTCCAGCTTCCAGTGCTGCCTGGGATGGTGAAAGACAACAAAAATGAAATAAGTAAATGAGAGCAAAGAGTCAGTTTTCTTATGCACAAAAATGCAAAATTTTTAATGTAGCTATACCACCCTTGAGAATTGCGGTGGGGGATGGGGGGCATAACTAACCACTCCTTAAGTGTAAGTTGTGCTTAAGTGATTTCCTTGCAAAGAATACAGAATAGAGAAACGATACTGGAGTGATGGTACAGAGGGTAGGGTGCTTGCCTTGTATGTGGCCAACCCAGGTTCAATCCCTGGCATCCAGTATGGTCCCTGAGACTGTCAGGAGTAATCCCTGAGTACAGAGCCAAGAGCAAGCCCTGAGCACTGCCCAGTGTAGCAACCTGCACCTTCTCTACCTCCAACCCCGCCCCACTGAGGAAAAAAAAACAGTATAGAGAGACGGGCTGGAGTGATAGCACAGCGGTAGGGAGTTTGCCTTGCACACGGCTGGCCCGGCTGGGCCGGATTCGATTACTCCGCCCCTCTCGGAGAGGCTGGCAAGCTACCGAGAGTATCTTGCCCACATGGCAAAGCCTGGCAAGCTACCCATGATGTATTCGATATGCCAAACACAGTAACAACAAGTCTCACGATGGAGACATTACTGGGCCCGCTCGAGAAAATCAATGAACAATGGGAGGACAGTGCTACAGTGCTATAGAAAGAGAGAAGAGTTTTAATTTTATCATTAAAAAACCTTGAAAAATCAAAAAAAAATTGGCAAAGACTTTCTAGACCAAGTGATTCAACATTAACATTATAAGTGATACTGACAGCACATTCTCTTATAATAATAAGACATAATAAAAACCACTTAATTTCTTTTTTTTAAAATTTTTATTAGACACCATGAGGTACAGTTGTAGACTTACAAATTTTTGTGCTTGGGTTTCAATTATACAATGATCAAGTACCCATCCCTCCACCAGTGCCCATTTCCTACCACCACAGATCCCAGTATCCCTCCCACCTCCCATCCCCCCCATCCCACCCTGCCTCTGTGGCAGGGCATACCCTTTTGTTCTCTCTCTCCTTTTGGGTGTTGAAAACCACTTAATTTCTATGTTCTTCCTTCCAAATACTAATAGAAAGACATATTCTCTAATTTCTCTCATATTCACTTTCTCTCTCCCTCTCACTACCTCCACTTTTTCGTTCCCCTCTTCTATAAAGCCTATATGATTAGTTAAAAATTATAAATCATTTAGCCTATTTTAAAATAAATTACATAAATACATAATATTTAATTTTGTAAAAGAAAACAGTACTTTTCTCTCTCTCTCTCTCTCTCTCTCACACACACACACACACACACACACACACACACACACACACACACACACTTGACTGCGCTCAGAGCTTAATACTGACTGATTCTGTGCTTAAGGATCACTCTTGGCAATTCTTGGGGGAGCCATATACAGTGTCTATAGTAGAACCTGGGTTGGCAGCGTGCAAAGCAAGCACTGAAACCCCTGTACTCTCCCTCTGGCCCTGACTTAATTTTTCAACTTTACTATTAGCAGTTTTTGAATAATATATGGTCACGGTCACGGTTCTCCCGTTGTTTATCGATTTGCTCGAGCGGGCCCAGTAACGTCTCCATTGTGAGACTTCTTGAAGAAAACAGTACTTTTATCAGAGAAAAATTTTTAAGGTTTTTCAAACACATGCAATTTGTGTCACTCTGTCTTTAGGCTAGATATTAAGTGTAAGTGGAAATAAATACAATGTTTGATGTTTAACTGTAAGGACTTTCTCAGGTTGGCTTCCCAAATTCTTCCTCAGATTGAGAAGAAACCTAAAGAACATATTCTATGAACAAACAAAACATTCATTTTATTTATTTTTTATTTATTTTTTGGGGGGGTCACACCCGACTATGCACAGGGGTTACTCCTGGCTCATGCACTCAGGAATTACTCCTGGTGGTGCTCAGGGGACCATATGGAATGCTGGGAATCGAACCCGGGTTGACTGCATGCAAGGCAGACATCCTACCCGTTGTACTATTGTGCCAGCCCCCTACACATTCATTTTAAAGAAATAAATACTAAATCTCAAAGTTAGATTTTTCACTCACTGGGAATTTTCTCTCTATAAATTGGTGGCAGAACTCCCTAAAAAGCAATATATTTAAGAAATGCAAGGCTAATCAGAGAGCTTAATGGGCTAAGTGCATGCTCTGTACATAGGAGGTCCAGGCTCCATCACTGTTCCCTAAGCACAGAACCAGGAACAGCCCCAAGCTCCACTAGGTATGGTGCAAGAAACAAATCGGAAATAAATAAATAAATGTCAAAATAAGAACTCCATGCTACTCTTGTCTCTACCACTTACAACTATGTGATCTTAGGCAAATTAACCTCTCAAAAAGTAGCATCTACTTCACAGTCACTTCAACACATTTTTCAGGATAGAGCAATGAAAAAGATTAATGAAGATAATTCAGATAACTTGATAACTTGCAGGCTATCGAATGTAGCCTGCCCACAGGGCAGAGTCTGGCAAACTCCCCGTGGCGTACCAAATATGCCAAATACCAGTAACAATGATGGGTCTCATTCTCCTAAAGAGCCTTGAATATAATCTCAGGGCTAGGATGAAAGAGACGTTACTGGGGCCTGCTCGAGGCAATCGACGAATGAAGATAATTCATAAAAATACTTTAAGATATGACCTGATAGCTAACAAGAACTCTAAATAATATAGTAACAAATATCACCTCAGGAATTAGGTGATATTCTTTCATAAATCAAATTAATGCCAAAATTTTTTAAAATTACAACAACATATTATTATGGATAAGAACAGCTTTTATTAATGTAACTAACTTCATTTTTGTTAGGATCATTTGTATCTAAGTTAGTTTTCCTCACTTTGTCTTCAATAAATTTCTTCTCAGTCTTTCATAAAACCATTTGTAATGATGCCATATATATCATGATACTTCAATTTTTTAAAAAAGAAAAAGAAGTATAGAAAAAAAATCTATTTATCAAAAAAAAGAAACAAAAATTAATAAAAGTTGTTGATAAGGACTAGAAAGACACTACAGCAGGTTGTCCTTTATGCAGACAACTTGATTCACCCCCAATACCACATATGGTCTCCCAGGAGTGATTCCTGAGTGAAGAACCAAGAATTAAGCCCTGAACACAGCTGGGGATGGCCCTAAAAACAAAAAATAAAAGTTGTTATAAGTTTATCATAATTAAAATTATAACTACCTGAAAAAAATACTCAGATCACCATACTTTTTGTTTGTTTGGGGGCCACACCCACTTTTGTTCACATATGTGAACATATGGGGTGCCTGGAATTGAACCTGGGCCAGCCTTGTGCATTGCAAGTGTACCGGTCCTATTTCATGATACACTTGTAGTTGTACATGGCAAGGGTACATGTACGTGGCAAGTACCCACTGTACTATTTCACCAGCCCCTCAGGTCACCATATTTTATCTTATACTTTCAAGTTTTATCCTGATCAATCTATCACTCTTTGTACCAACTATATATTAACTCAGTAGTGCTGAAGTGAATGTTTTTCATTTCAAAATTAGATGAAGTGTCTGGACAAGAGAGATAGTACAGGACTTAAGGTGCTTGCCTCATATGCTGACAGAGGCACCACCAGGAGTGTTCCCTGATCAGTGAGTCAAAAAGAGTCCTGGAGCACTGCTGGATTTGCCCCCAAAACAAACAACAACAAGGGGGAAAAAAACAGTATTAGACAAAATCTTCAATTTACAAACATATTGAATTCTGCAAGTTCAGTTTTACTTCACTGTATAAAATTTAAGAAATATCCTGGCGGTTCTCAGGGGACCATATGGGATGCTGGAAATAGGACCTGGGTCTGCTGGTGCAAGGTAAACACCCTACTCACTGTGCTATCACTCCAGCCCCACTTTTTTTTTTAATGTTTGTTACACAGGTTCGATTCCTCCGCCCCTTTCGGAGAGCCCGGCAAGCTACCGAGAGTATTCCTCCCACACGGCAAAGCCTGGCAAGCTACCCATGATGTATTCGATATGCCAAAAACAGTAACAAGTCTCACAATCTGTTGTGAGACGTTACTGGTGCCCGCTCGAGCAA